CCAGTCTCATGAAGTATTTAAATGCTAAATACTTTGGACCTAGAGCGAGAAGTTGCCAATATTCTCTCGTTAGATTCAGTCCATAGATGTTAAACATACACTATCTCCTCCTGGCTCACAGTATTTGACTGGGTCAATATGTGACCAGTCCAAAGTTCTAAGTCTCAAGCACCGGCTGACAATAATAGAATATTTCCTCGAGATGGAACCGTTCAAAAATGGAGGAAGAGCTTTTGTTTTATAATATACCGTAATATCTCATGATGAGAACAAAATAAAAAAATATATAAAAAACATAATCTACTAAATCAAATTTTCTCTAAACTTTTTTGAAGGATCATGAATCATAAATCGTACATTTTCAAAACAAAACTATCTACTATCTTTAAGACTTTATTCTGTTAGTATTAGAGTCTGAATGATGTTTTGAAATATTTCCAGATTATTTTTGAATGAAAAAAGTAAAGAGATATGAATGGATTCTTTATGAATGAAGTAAATTAGTAAAACTGAAGTCTCACTGCGGCCCGGTACCAAATGACCTACGGACCGGCACCGGTCCCCACACCGGGGGTTGGGGACCCCTGTACTAGATGATGAACTTGTTGAATGTCACTGGTATGAATGTTCCACTACTACTTTGCTTCTGTTGTAACATTTCTCGACGGGTTGCAGCCATCTGTGTCAGCCTTCATACAGGTCTCATTCAGGGGATGTTATAGAGAAGTTTTAACACAATATTCCCATTGTGTGAAATATAACTCAGTGTGGTCGGGCACGGAACATGGTTCAAACTGAAAAGTGAAAGAAAAAGGGGATCAGACTTTGGCGAAGCTGGAGGATGACATCCAGATGAAAAATGTTCAGTCGTCTCCCGCTCTGCTCTTCATAACTCTTCACACATGTTCTGTAACGTGAGCGTGTCCCTGTGTTTAGCTTCAGGACGCTCTGCTCCACTTCTGCCTTTCCTCCGGCAGACATGACAGATCTGCGGGTCTTGATGGGGAGGTCTTAGAGCAGGAACCAAACACAGACTCACACAGGCTTTACAAACACTGGGGTTCTTTTTACAGTCTGGACCCGCGCCAGGTCAGCCGCCAAACCACATGGTCAAGAAAACAACAAGCCTCTCCGAGGACTGAAACGCTGTACAGACAAAGAGGGGAGTGTTGGAGTGGATATGGGTGGGAGGCTGAGTTACTGTACGGGTCTGAGTAAAAGAAGTAATAAAGAATCTGGCTTGTACAGTAAACAACCGCAGAGCAAAGCCATGATGTTCCCCCGCTGCCGTCCAAGGGTTGATTTGTGTCAGTAGAAGCAGAGTTGTTCCTGATAATGAGAAAAGAATGCAGCTGTTCTCGTATCTCCGTCGTATGGTAGACTGACCTTCTCAGCACGTTGTTCCTGGAAATAACCATTATTTTGTCTTGAAAAAATGAGTGTGACTCTGACAGGTTAGGGGTTTTCACGCTTCAGCGAGTGTTTGTTCAGGTGACACTGGGTGTTGTTTAAGCTAACAAGGCTCATCTGACTATGACAGGAATGTCTTCTTGTTCCAACAGGCCTATGTTGTGTTGTTGGGAACCTTGACCATCTGACAGACAAGCTCCAGGGGTTAGAGTCAGAACACTTACTGCGCTTACCCATCACTTTGCATTGGAAGCGAATGGAAATTTAATCCTTGAACCTTTCCTGTTGTTCTGGCCTTTTACCTCCTCCACTCGGCCGAGCTGTGGCACGTCCAGGTTTCTGCATCTGGACCGGGGCCAGGAGTGTCCCACTCTGGCTCACTCTGGTTTATACAAATTTACAACTGGCCTTAGCTAATGGAAAAGATGGGCAGATGTGTGGACTAATATGGTCACAGCAGCTTTGAACGGCTTCTGCCCTACACAGTAATATAAACGGTGAGCATGAAGCCAAACGGCTGCTGTGGCCTCTGGTTGTCTATTTGGAAAAGTCAAGGATGTGTCAAAATAAATACACCTTGTGTGTGTGTGTGTGTGTGTGTGTGTGTGTTTCTGCTGTGGGTTTTGGCCCATATTTGGCCATTTGACCTCAAACGTCTTGTCTATGGTCCCTGAAGAGCTCGGTCTGTTGTTCCACGTTACATTACAAACTGTGTTTATTTAATAAAGGGTCATTAAATGGATAATTAAATTCAAACATATTTTGTTAGTTTTGTCTGGCTGTTGCCAAGATGATTTATTGGCTATTTTGATTTACCAAAGAACCCTTAGTGAAAATGTCAGTTGGACTCGTGCCTGATGGGTAATGTGTCTTGTTAAATAGTGATTACACCACTTCATTATCACAGTTTTCCTTGGAAGCAAACGTACAATTTTTCAATAGTTACAGAAACAAACATATTAAAGGAGGCTCATGTAAAAGCAAGAAGGAAAAAAACTGCTGGAGACAAATCTGGAGTTGGTATTTGTAGATTGTCTGGTGGTTTGATTAAAAAAAGATCAAGGCGAGGTCCGGCTCGTGCAGTTGCCGGATAAAGGAAACTCAGATGAACCAAAAATCGACTGAAATAGGTCAGTGATGGCATCAGGCTTTATTTAGTTAAACCACAAATGTTACTTTTCTGGATAGACTCTATTTAGACAATCCCACCGCAGGAAATGTCCTTATTTCCCCTTTCTGACGAGCACAGTGAAGACGATGGACCCAAAATGCATCGTGTTGCATTTGCTGCATTCTTTCTCGGTGACGAATCTGATTTAAAGGGAATTCACTGGAAATGGTCAAGAGAATGTGGTTATGTTCAGTCAGCCGTCAGTCGACAAGAAAAGACAACCCAAAATTCTTGCAGGTCAACATGGATGTGTATTCCCAAAATTCTTGCAGGTCAACATGGACGCTGTGGTTTATGACCCCTGGCGTCATATCAGTGAAGAGCCGTGGATGTGCTGACAGCATTGTCCTCAGGGATATCTGGACACCGCATCTTTATTTGTTCAGCAGAGGAGTCTTGTGCACAATTATGTGTTCCATTATTCCAGATTGGGTCTGATCCCGTCGATCAGATAACCCGCTGCACAGCTGTCTCTTATCTCACGCTATATTTGTACAAATTAGTTTGTTATGAATCTTTATTCTTTATTTTTTCCTGTTAAAGTTCAGAAACTGAGACTTTTCACGGTGCTGTGTTTTGTTATAGCGTTAAAATAAGCTGTGATGGTGGAAGTTCACACTGCTGTGAGCACAGACACAAACTTTACAGTTTGGACTGGTCTCAGGTCAGACTGTCCTGAAGAACTAGTTAGTTTATTTACTAGTTTATTATCTTGTCTGTGCCTAATGTTACATTAATGTTTCTTATTACAGTTATATCTTCAAGAAAACATTCTGAGCCAGAAACCTAACCTAAAACTAAACACATTTCCTGAACATTTTCTTCCCTTTACTGAAAGATTGTTTTAAAAGGATAACACTTTACATTGGCAGTTAATGAGAGAAGATTTTCTGATCTGCCAACAATCATGACACATTCAAATGTTAATAGTTGACTTTTTGATTCCCCTTTTTTTAAATTATGTTCATCCAGGTTTAGTCAGAAGCGGCCTGTGGCCTTACCACTGTGAAAACGTTCATTTCTGTTATGCAGACGATACTCTGAGACAAACAGGACCTACCCTGCAGTGTTAAACCTTTTCTTGGGAGGACAAAACTTTCTGCAATGTGTTCAACCCCTGTCAGCAACGCAGCTTATTTTACCACAGCTGATCTCTGTGTATATTTATTTGGGTATGTAGGCAGGGCTGATGGTGCAAGACTCCCACAGGATTGCACACATTTCCTACATCGCTAGAAAAAAATTACAGCTGTTGTTGGAGAACAAACCCAATGTGTAATCATGTGTCTTGTGTCCGACTGCCTAAAGTCAAGTGCTGTGATGCTGAATCTAAATGTTGCAACTTTCACATGTTATTCACAGACATCTCTGGTGTAAAGTTCTCCATACATACAACGACCACGTCAACCTCCAAAACAACAGCAGGACAGACACACCTCTCACTGCAGCCGCTGAGGACACGCCCCTCTAATCACGGCTCATTAGGCCCTAACGGAGGAAATTGGCACTGAATGAAAATGGGATGAAAACGGCCTTAGTGTTTTAATCCCTGTAAATTATGGTCTCCATTTCAACCCTCACACCTAAATGTGCTACTCCTGAGTCAAGGATATTATTAAATGTCTCGACGCTTTCTCTTAATGATATAGTTCCCTACAGTTTCCTGCTCATGTCGACCTTTACAAGGGCAGAAATTCATGTTACACATTTCATGTACTGTAGTCTGCCTGAAAAAAAAAAATCAGGCTTTATACAGGTGTTTTCCATTTTTGATGGTAACTGAAATATGTTTTTGTAATGTTTGAAAGATCGAGAACTTCTTTGCAAGAAATAGATGGACGACTGTATTTCAATTAAAGGCACCAGAAGGTGCAGTACCAGTGCTGGACAGCAGAGAAAAAAATGATGACTCCTATATACCTAAATTCAGACCTCTTTTTGTTGTTACATTTTTCCATAGTATTCTATATAAAACATATTGTTCCATTTAATAAACTGCACTGATGTGTTTTCATGGAGTGTATATAGATTTTAGTTGATGTCACCGCTTTCTGTTAGTGCCATATGGAGTCTGTTTAACTCACAGCCAGTAGTGGGTGGGCAATGACAGCACTGGGGTTTGGTGAAACCCCTGAGTTTTGCTGATGGGCCATTATGGTCTACCTCCAGATTGTTGCCTGGGCAGGAGGGGCTGGGGTTCTTCTAACAGCAGTTCTTTGAAGTTCCCGACGTGTCTTGTTTTTTGAAGATTATGATCTTAGTTTTCTGTCTGTCTTCACTTAAACTTTGCTTCTGTTAAAGCTTTCTTGAAAACAGCCATTTAAAAACACAAACTATTGTGGTGTAGATTTCACCAAAATGTGACGTTAGCTTTGTGCTGGTTTTGAAAGCTAATTTTGTCCTTTCTCTGTTTTTCTAGTGCTCTCTGACGGAGGCCAAACTCTGAGGTAGAGGAGGCTGTAAAGAGGCCCTGAAGGAGCCTCCCATCCTCCCTACCTAACCAGGAGCAAGCATCGGACAGCCATGGCTCCACGGAAGCGTGGTGGAGGTGGAGGTGGTGGCCTGTCGTTCCTCTTGTGCTGTTTTAACAATAGTGATCACCCGGAGATCACGTACAGGCTTCGGGAGGACTTTGCTCTGCAGACCATGGAGCCGTCACTGCCAATGCCAGGATATGAGGAACTTGACTCAATGTTCTCCGAGCTGGTGGTAAGATGACAGTACTTTATTGTTTAATAATGTGATGATAACTTAGTCTTGATGATAACATGGCTGTCTCCTGTAGAGACATTGTACAATATGGATTCATTGTACTGTTTATCTGTATATTTAAATTCTGACTTGGTGTCAGAGTTTTGTTGTTCAACTGAAAGCTAACTATACTGTGTATTTGTTCTACTCTGTCAGGTACTGCCTAAATATAGTATTATAAAATGGAACATGGCAATTATACTGTAACTTGAAAAAAAGAGAAAACATTCAAATGAATGCCTAACCCGTTAAAATGACTTATGGTGAAAAAAAGAGAAAACATTCAAATGAACCCCGAGCCCATTAAAATGACTTATGGTTTTTTACTTTGGTGTGATTCTAAAAAAATCACACCAAAGTATGTTTGTGTGTCTAGAAAATTCCGACTATAAATCCACTGTATTTTTGTTTGAACACATACAGTCAACACTTAAAAAATAAAAATCTTTGTTTGAAATAAAGCAGACACGTCGAGACTGTACAGCAACTCTAAACAAATTACATTTCAAATTGAATCTTCTTCAATCCTGTTTACGCTGCCACATTCCAAGACATCCAAAAATGAACTGTCGCATTTCCAATTGACTCCACATTGTGAGGAACCAGGCCCGCCTGCTATTCAGTCTGTGTCTGATTGTCACTTCTAATTTGTTGTGCTCTCCTGTCCCCTCTGGTCGTTTGCCTCTCCCATGGCTGCCGCAGGAATCTTAGCATGAGGTTTTAGCACATCAATGGAGCTCATTCAGGAGCTCCTCGTGTCCCTGCCTCCTCCTCCATCTGCTAATTGCTTGTTTTTGTCTGCCGTCCTTTATGAGGACCTAATTGAGTAAGTTGAGTGCGACGACAGGGAGGCTTTCAGTCGCTGTGTTTACTGACAGAAAATGGCCACGTGCTTTTTTCTTTCACCCAGCGTGAGCTGCCATGTGCGTTTGTAATTGGGAAAAAAAACGACTCGTTCTGTGGCCATCTGCTCTTTTACGACCAAATAAATCCGACCTTTGAACTTCAGCTTTAATGCGTACATTTCCTCGGAAACCTATAAGGTCATAAGCTCTAAAGAAACAGCTGCTCTACTGTCCTTTTAAAAAGAACGTTAACAGCAATTTATAGTGAAATCAAACTTTGTCATATCCCTGCCGTTAATATTCTGAAGAATCAAAAAAAACATTCAGTATCTGGACTCCATTCACAGGATTAATCACTGGCCCTGCATGACAGATTTAGGGCATTTCTTCACTGCATATTTTAATCTCAGAGCAGAATTGAAGAGCTCAGTAGCTGCCACCAAACATTTACCAATTTGAGGAGCCATGTTAATCTGGATGTACATGTGCTTCTTGAATAAAAACGGAGACAGAATACAGTACCATTACTGTATCGCTTAACAGTGATAATCTTATTTCACTGTAATTGTTTTAAGACCAGACTAAAGTTCAGCAAATTAAATTTACTGTTAACTGTTTGTCATCCATGCCGTCAAGTCAGTCACGTCAAGTCAGTCACGTCACGTCCAGAAGATCTGAAGAACTCTATCCGGTATCGTGACCCTGCCTAACCAACCAAGGCCTAAATTAGAAGTTGTTGATACTTTTGGAATGGTTAAATCTGCACTTGAAAGTAAAACACCTCCCATCAGCACCAGTGGTGTACCTCAGTGACATATCTGTCAAAGTCTAAGATTCATGTTGTTTCCAGATGGTTGTGGCCACATGTGGAGTAGAGGAAACCCTTCCTCTCCACCCTTGTCTTAGGCCTGCAGGACTGATGATTTGATTCTGAACCAAGATGACTTTTCAGTGACAACAGCCAGTAATATTCAGTGGATGGCGAACAGATGAGCATAATCCCATTTTGAAACAGGATGCAGGCTTATTGGGCAACGCATCCTGACACGAGCTTTAGTTTTCAGAGGGATAGATTTATGTCGGTGTTTCACAACGTTTCAGCATGCTAGCTGAAAATGCTTCGCTACTATGGAAACTGCAGTTAACACTTATTTAGGTCCAGATATTTCTGTGGCTGCTCTGAAACAAAGATGCCCAAGTAAATACATCTAAACTTTTTTTTGTTTCACATAAAGGCTTAACATTTATACATTTACCTTTGAAATCTTTAGCCCTACGCACTTACATTTGATATTTATAGCATTCAGCGCCACAAAATAACAATGGTTTTATTTTGACTATAACTTACAGTAGTAAATAGGTTTTTAACTTCAGCCACTTTTTATTGTTTCGGTGTGTTCCAACTATTTATTAATTTTTTACAATTTTTAATCTCATTTTGCAGGATGAGCTTGATCTGACGGAGAAACACAGGGAGGCCATGTTCGCCCTACCTGCAGAGAAGAAGTGGCAAATCTACTGCAGCAAGAAGAAGGTAAAAGCCTTGGCGTGACTTATGTCGTACTCCACTATTAGTCACCACAAGATTGCAAGACTGGCAGATTTTCCTGACTAATGTCTCCCCTGACAAGTCGGCATAAGTTCCATCCATCACTGATTGTTGATATACAGAGGTGTGGATTTTCCGGAGAACACACCACAAAAGCCCACATCGAGGCTCACAACAAGCCCTGGCACGAGGGTGTTGTCTCCGACTGTATCTACGGAATGTAGAATGTTTTAATTGTCAATAACAGATGGCTTATAAGACAAGAAAATACTGTGTTCTGCAGTGACATATTGTTTACAGTTCATTTTGTCTGCTGTAAATCGTGGACCGTGGTTTCTCTGGGAGAGGTGCACACATCGTAACAGAGAGGCTGTCGTCCACTTTTTATGCGTGGCCTATGAACAAAAGTACACTTTTAAAATGAAAATGTTCCTAATCTGAATATAATGAATTTATGTGTGTTGTACAAATTCTTAACCACAAGCTAATGTCTCAAGTGCCATCTGTAAGGAGAAGGTTACGAATGTCCCCTCAGGAACTACTGTAATTTATTACCTAAAATATAAATGGTTCTAAACAGAACTGAAAGGTGAATAGGCAACATGAATGAACGGCTGTCTCCACTGTGCTGCACTCACATGGTTTCATGACGCCAAGAACAGTCGGCCTAAAGATATAACCTACTTTGGAACTCATTTTAAAGTCGATCAGAAGCTCGGGCTGTTGTGTGCAGCAACATTAACATGCCTGTAGAATATAAACATGGAAACCTCAGCAGGATCAAACGTGTCATGGACAGAATTAAGTAAATATTTAACGCCCTTACAGCCTGGTGCTTATGTGATTTACTTAATCTAGATTTATGTTACAGCGGACGTATACAAAAATAGACACGAGGCTCATTTCCTGTGTCACATGTCTCTGAAGATTGGATTTCTCAGCTCCCGGGTTCCGGTTTTACTGTCTGGTTAAAGTGAGAACATATTTAAATCTGATTTTAGACCTTAAATGTGTTCCATCAAAGAGGGAACGTAGACATAACATTGTCCAAGACTCGACGACGGCGTCATTTTCTATTAGGACTCATCTCACTGATGAAACAACTGTCCACTGCTTCACTTTTTTTCCCCTGTATTTGAGCACATCCTTTACACACAGGAAAAAGCAGACGCCTGTTCTTCTTCAGTTCCTCTCGCATTAAGATTCCCGCTCCATTACCACCTGACAGTTGTCACAGCCGTGATAATCAAGGCCATGGATTGGAGTGTGTAGGAAATCCTGATCCTGTTCAGTAAATCATCTGTCTTCCGGTTGGACGCTGGACTCTGGGAGCAGTTAGATTTAGTGTAATAAATGTCATTATGTCAGTATGTGATTGAAGAGTTGAATGTGAACACAGAGCTGGTTGTCGTCAGCATAATAAAACCAAACACACTCTCTGTGTGTAATGCGCCTCAAAAGCAGCACAAAAATAACATTAGTCCAAACACAGCACCTCGAGGAATTATGTGCCTGAAGCAAGTTGTTTTTTTATAATGAACTTCATTTCAAATTACTTAAAAATGATCTATTTTTCTATTCTATTTCTATATGTTCTATAACTTCATTTCAAGTTACTTAAAAATGATTTATTTTTCTATTCTATTTCTATATGTTGTACAAACTACAGGCTCCCAAATAAAACGGTAAATGAGCAAAAACCACAGTAAGGGAAAGTACTCATGCATAATACAGGGGTATTGTTTCAGTTGTTCTCTGGAGGTAGAAAGTATTTAGTGGAACCAAACCTTTAAGTAAAGCATCAACATACTGAGGGGGAGGGAGGGACACAGAGGATGATCAATATTGCTGACTCGGCAGCGTGTTCTGGCCCCGTACCAGAAAAGATGCAACCCTCCCATCAGAGCTCATGGGAGGAAGGGTCTGTGTGCAGAGAGAAGAGGCAGAGGAAGCGGTCGGTGGTCCAAAGCAAACAGGAAGCCTTCACTTACACAGGTGCAGCGTTTGAATAAAAGTCAGGGGATGACAAAGAGGGACGGGGGGTCAAGATGAGGGCAGTCCAGGCTAATGACTGATAAATGAGCTTTTTTTCCCCCGATTTAAAACTACAGTCAGAGACAACTTTAACTGAAGGTTCTGGCTGTAACCTGAGAGGATTTGATCATCCTGTTGATAATCAATCTTCTTCCTTCTCTGTCTACACTCTCTGCTTCGTTGCGCCAACAGCCAAGGAGATGATTTACGGTTGTGGTTGTGAGCACAAGTCTCTAGTAATACTTTGACTCTGACAGCGGATGACTTCATGGTTGGAGATAAGTCACTGGTGTACAGTGTATCAGCGAAATGAGTTTGCACGTTTGGCCATTTGCAAGAAATGCTGTACATTAGAGCAGTGATTCCCAAACACTGGAATGTGGCACACTAGTGTGCCATGGACAATTATCGAATTTCATTTAATTGGGCTAAAACTATTGTATTTATTGCATAACTTTTTGATGCATTAATGTGCTTTAATAAAGTTCTACAGCCATAACAGGTCTTTTCAGTTTGAGGCCAAGTCTTTGTATCTTGGACCTTTGATTGGACCGTTGACCTGTCCAGAGACTGGCTTCACTCATGACCACTGATCCTTAACAAGATGAAACAGTTGACAAGGAACGAGTGAATGTTTGAAGACAGAACTGCTCTTCTCTGTCTTTCTGTCCTGTGACTCCTTAATATCTGAGATTAAATTGTGCTGTGTCTTTGATCTTTGCTCTCTAAAATATGGAATGAGTAATGTTCTTATCTTTTCCCTCTCACCATGGTGCTGAACAAACTCTCAGCGTTTGAAGTTTGCTGACTTCGGCGTTAGAGGAAGGGCTCCCAAAGATTTAAAGAGGAAGTGGTTCAGTCTGTGCTCGTGCTCCTCTAATGGACTGAACCGGTTCCAAACTGGCACTGTCCAAGAATGAGACAGCAAGGTCCCTGCAGGCCGCCTTATTAACCGACGCCCAATTAGTTTCTGATTGTCACAGTTCGCTTGTGTTTAATGGAGCGAGGGCAGGGATGAAAGTCTGGGGCCCTTTAATGTACGAGCCAAGTTCACGGTCCAGCCTTTTCCTTCTCGGGGATCCTGTGGAGGTTGATGAGTAAATTGTTGTGCGTTCGACACAAGCGCGCCCATCAGCAGATTAATCTAAACACGAATCACGCCATGTCCTTAATCTGCAGTTTTGACATTGATTTGCGAATCTCAAGATTATCACCCAGCTGCCCTCTCTTTTCAGTGTTTCCACACGCCTGTGGAAACTGGACTGAAGCAGCTGAGGATGAAAATAGGCAGCGTATCTGTGTCGCCCCACTTTAACTTCCTGCTCCATTTGTTTGGGTCTTGGACTCTTTTTTTTTTTTTTTTTTCATTTACCATATGCTGTTTGTGTTTACTGATCTATTCAGAAAAAACACAGTGGTGTGACACGTTTTTCACATGGTTTGTCACTGGTCACTGGTCTTAAACTCCAACCAAACAACAACCCCTTCCCTCATGTGACCTGAGTTCATGTTGTCATTTAACATTTGTCTTAAGCCAGTCATGCAGAGCTAATGTAACGAGAAGAGCAGAACTTCTGCTTATAATTTGTGTCTTTCTTCCCCTTTTTTTCCATTGTTTCAATACTGTATTACACAAAATTAATAATTGTTCTGTGTCATTTCAATATTTAGGAACAAGAGGAGAACAAAAGTGCAACAAGTTGGCCTGAATTCTACATTGATCAGCTCAATTCAATGGCAGCTGTAAGTAATAACACGGACGTTATTCTTTTCTTTGGAGTAGAGGACATAAAAATGGTAATAAATTGTCCTAGAAGAGCGATTTGTCCTTAACTCTTTCCATGGTTTTTCCCTTTTTTCCTCTCATTAAAGAGTTTTTTTCCCCTCATTCTGAGTCAAAGCTGCACGACTGTAACACAAATACAAACCTGTTATTTATAAAGGCCTATAAATGCAGCTCGAGTGGACGACTTCAAACCAAGAGAAGCTATTAATGAGCCAACAAATATCCCCGCTTTGTATTGTTAAAGGGTTATTCCCCACATCTTACAGCATCACAGCAGTGCAGCAGCATTTATGAAGCTCAGTAGTAGTGTTTTCTAAAAAGGCTAGTGTTTTAATGTTTCATGGCCGAGTTGCAGTTAAACACATCAGCAGGTTTTTGTTTCTTTTCCTTCCGCAAATTGGTAGCTTTGTTTTGACTTCCTAGTCTTATTTCCATCCTGATTACTATTTTAATATTATCTGACTTCCTAGTCTTATTTCCATCCTGATCACTATTTTAATATTATCTTTTTTTCTTTTTTTATGATTTACAGAGAAAGACGCTTCTGGCTTTAGAGAAGGAAGACGAGGAGGAGAGGAACAAAACCATCGAGAACTTAAAAACGGCTCTGAGGACGCAGCCAATGAGGTGGATGAATATTTAGACCTCTCCTCCGCCCTGACTCTCATTAACATTTAAAAGCCCTCTTTTATCCTCTGACCTTGCCTGTCGATTTGTGAAGCTCATGCGTGACTGTCAGAATAAGTCCGTCTGGAGTTAACCAGATGTAAAGTTAACTGCTTTTTTACTTAAATGAATAAACACCAGGAAGACTAGGAGAGAGAGTTACAGTATCTGACATCCCTCTGCTCACAATACATAATATACACATTCCAGGGCCAGGAGAAAACATTTATATTCAGGACAATTTAATCTCTTGTCTACCATATTTTCAGTCTTGTGTACCATATTTTCAGGACTAAATGTCGCAGTTTTTTTCATCCTTTGTCTGGGTTTGCGACTTATATATTAAAATATATAATTTCACAGCCAAATGTTAGCCAAGAAATAGTTTACAAAATATGTACATTCACTTTACATATATTTTACTAAAAAAAAACCATAATAACAACAGATAAACGAACAGTAAACCGTCATAACTGTAACTGAATAAATGAGAACTCTAAAGGTGTCATCTAAAAGCTCAGCTCCACTGACTTATCTCTGCCTGCTCTGCTCTTAGGTTTGTGACTCGTTTCATCGACCTGGACGGGCTGACATGTATCCTGAACTTCCTGAAGAGCATGGACTACGAGACCACGGAGTCACAGATCCACACGTCTCTGATCGGCTGCATCAAGGCGTTGATGAACAACTCCCAGGGTCGAGCTCACGTCCTCTCTCACACCGAGAGCATCAACATCATCGCCCAAAGTCTGGCCACGGAGAATATCAAGACCAAGGTGGCGGTGCTGGAGATCATGGGAGCCGTGTGTCTGGTTCCCGGTGGGCACAAGAAAATCCTGGAGGCCATGCTGCACTACCAACGCTTCGCCTGCGAGAGGACGCGCTTTCAGGTGCGTGGAAGGACGCCAAGTTACACAGCTGTGGTTTTTAAATCTTTTAAGACGGACATGATGTAGTCGCTGTGTAGTAATTTCCCAACTGTAATGACCTGTCTTTTCTCAGACACTCATAAATGACCTGGACAGGAGTACAGGGAGGTACAGAGACGAGGTCAACCTGAAAACAGCCATCATGTCCTTTATTAATGCTGTGCTGAGTCAAGGAGCTGGAGAGGTCGGTCTGAAACTGTACAACAATGTAGACTCTCTCTCCACACACGGGAAGGTCACTTCAAAAATATTTTCTTCTCTAAAACTCAGACCAGTTTGGAATTCCGTATCCACCTCCGATATGAGTTTCTAATGCTGGGCATTCAGCCTGTGATCGATAAGCTACGTTCTCATGAGAACTCAACATTGGACCGGTGAGTGTGACGTGTAGAAGTTCTGAAGTTCCACACTACGACACAAGTTTTCTGTATTAATGTCAGTGGTAGTAGAAACAATAACAACTTAATACACCGTTCACTCCACTTTCTCAGGCATTTAGATTATTTTGAGATGCTGCGCAATGAAGACGAGCTGGCTTTGTCAAAACGATTCGAGTCGGTAAGAGAAGTTAAAAAATATTTCATGATTTATTTATTTATTTATTTTACAATTTCTATTTTCTTGGTTGAATTCATTGGTCGGTTGTTTCCTCTTCTTTGTCTTCCAGGTACATATAGATACCAAAAGTGCCACCCAGGTTTTTGATCTCATCCGTAAGAAGATGAACCACACAGATGCATACCCGCACTTTATGTCTGTCCTGCACCACTGTCTCCTGATGCCACGTAAGACATTCTCAAAACACCCTGACCTTCACAGTCTTTCCTCTCTTATATTAAAATCACAGTTATTTTTGGTCAGAGTTGTATTTCATGTCAGATACGATCTCTAACCTATCCCTGGCCTCCGCCCCATGGAGAGGTTCTGTACCTGGTCCTGAGCTGTGGTCCAGACTCAGAAGCTCTGGTTGAGTTTGACGAATGTGTTCAAAACAAAATCCTTCTGGGGAAAATACCTTCTAACCAGTCTTTGTTAAAAATGTCACATCGAGATGTGATCACTGAAAAAAAAAAATCATGTGACCGACAAATTCCAGCAAGTGGAAAATCTAGCAGGAAATCACCGAGTGGTTAAAAGAAAAGCCTTCAGCCTAACAGCCAGGATGGCTTTGAAAACTCCCGTAAATCTGTCACATACGGAGAGTCATTACTACAGTGACATTTCTATCTGACAGTCTGATGTTCACTACCTCGTATCAGTGAGAAAACTGCAGGGTCAAGCACCAAGCAGGACTGGTTACCATCAATTTAAACTACACACATATATATATACAAATATATATGTTTTTCCTGTGTCTTTGTCCTGTGTTTTTGACTGGGGTCATGGAACTGAAGAGCAGCAGCTGCAGTTACGTCCTGGATTCACCCCTTTTAGTCTAAGTGCATTATAGCTCCTTCTGCTGAGTCATCAGGAGTGTAGATAGCACTTTAGCTGCCAATGTGAGCGTTTTATTATATATGAGTTAATCAAGTGCAATCAGCTACGAAATGAATAATGTTCCCGCAGTCGCTGTGATATAAAACATTGAACATCTGCAAATGCACTGGTCAGGGGTAATAACAGGATGTGTTCATATTCATGGCTTTTACTGAGGTTTCAGGCCAAATAACAAAGCAGCATGAAAACGTTTCTGTCCCAGGACAGATGTGGCGTGGAAAATCTAAAACATGTGTCACCTCAGTGGAACCTGCTGTCATTTAACCTCCTCTTTAGCTCATTAGAGCGACCCCGAGGAAAGGGTTTGACAGGTTATTTCTTTGCATTTCATCACAATCAGACAACCCCACCTGTGGTCGTTCGTTTCTGAGAAGGGCAGTAAAAGCCACAGTGAGCGGAAGAGAAAGTAACAAGAGCCCAGGGACTAATAGGAAATGTGTGCCTCTCTGTGTTTTTGTCTTGTTTTCCTGCAGACAAGAGAAGTGGGAACACTGTGCAGTACTGGCTGCTGCTGGACCGCATCGTCCAGCAGATGGTCTTACAGAACGACAAGGGTCAGGATCCGGATGCCGCGCCACTGGAGAATTTTAACGTGAAGAACGTCGTCCGGATGTAAGTCCTCAGGTTTCCCTCCTGGAATAAACAGACACGTGGACGAGTGCAGGGAGTCAACTGAGGTGTCTGAAGGACGTCCAGCAGTTCTGTGTTCTGTGTTCAACAGAGCTGGTTGAAAAAAAAACACTTAAAAGTCCAGAAGTGAAGGTGGTGTTGATGTGTGTGGTGTTGTCTCTGCAGGCTGGTCAATGAGAATGAGGTCAAGCAGTGGAAAGAGCAGGCGGAGAAGATGAGAAAAGGTGTGTGTGATCGTGACTCATAGACCACCGACTGTGTGTGACAGGGGTCTCAAACTCCAATGTCTTTTCACTCAGTGGTCATAGTAGTTGTTCAACATGAAATAAAAACTGGAAAGAAGTACACAACCAGAGGGAAATGATATCATTATTGACTGTCTGTTTGTCATAGAACACAATGAGTTACAACAGAAGTTTGACAAGAAGGAGCGTGAATGCGACGCAAAGACGCAGGAGAAGGAGGACATGATGCAGACGCTCAACAAAATGAAGGAGAAGCTGGAGAAGGAGGCCACGGAGCACAAGAACGTCAAACAGCAAGTGGCGGAGCTCACCGCCCGACTGCACGAACTCAGAAGTGTACGTTGGACTTTCTTTCTGACCCTTTGTTTTACACTACAACAGCAGAGGTCACTGTAGGCCACGCAGGGCTTGGTTGGTCACACCGGCAACTGAAATGCAACCCTAAACCATCACAGAACCTCCCTATGCCATTGAATTATGCCAGCAGTCAGTAACTTTCATCTGAAAATGTTTTTTCTCCTCTGCAGAGACAGACTGCTCCTGTACCTGGCGGCCCTCCGCTGCCTCCTGGCCCCCCCGGCGGTCCCGTTCCTCCCCCTCCATCCATGCTACCTTTCGGAGGAGGGTGCCCACCTCCCCCACCACCTCCTGGTGGCATGCCTCCTCCCCCACCCCCACCTGCTCCTCCAGGAGGCCCTCCTCCTCCTGGGCGTGCAGCTATGGGAGGCATCCCCCCGCCGCCGGGAGCGCCGCTGGGACCTTCCCTGAAGAAGAAGAACATTCCTCAGCCGTCTCATCCACTCAAGTCCTTCAACTGGTCCAAGTTAGCTGAAGTAAGTCCCTGGGCGGGTGGGAGAGCCTGAACTGATGCTTTGAGTGGAAATGTCAGTAGATAACGGTTGTTTGTCACCTGCTCAGAATAAACTGGAAGGCACCGTGTGGGTGGACATGGACGACGGCAAGGTTTTCAAAATCCTGGACCTGGAGGATCTGGAGAAGACCTTCTCAGCCTATCAGAGACAGCAGGTACTGATGACAACAGTTGGCAGAGAGAGCGTAGAGGTGGCTGCTGAGTGCACAACCGGCTTCCATCGTTAGGTTTCTCTTCTCTGACGCAACTTTGCGTTTCACAAGCAGAGCTGGAGAAAATGGGCTGAAACAGTGGAGGGAACAAATCCATCAGGGATTTTCTAATAAGTCATTGCAAAAACCTCAACACAGTTGTCATTCAGACTTTCAGTCATTTTGCAACATGATGATGAGAATGCATGAGCTGAGTGAGCTGCTCAGAACCTGCCTGTTTCTTGCGTCTGGCTTTAGTTTGCAGTGTGTTTCATAATCAGTAGTTTCTACAGACCGTGTTTCCAGGAAAGTACACTTCATAAAAAAACAAAAGAAAACTTTAATCTGTCATTTTAGAAGTCAACTAACCAGTGGATCATTGCTTACAGAGTAAAGTGTCACTGTTTAAAGGTATTCATGTGTAGCTAAAAGGTACTGCACATTCAGCAGCAAGAAAATATACTGATTTTAAAGCATTGGGAAGTGTACCAACTTTTCTGGAAACGGATATGGAAGTTTTTTTGTTAACAGGCTTTTTTTCAGCTGTATTTTTCAGTGCTTGAAGCAGCATGTTGAATTTACACTAAAATTTATATATATAGTTATATATATAAAAAAGAAGAACATCTATTGTTAACAAAAAATAATAATAAAATGGACTCCCATTAACTTTGATGTGCGCAGCATGTGAAGTTCATGCACGTATTGATCAGCTGAAGAGCCGCTCACGTCACTGACCCAGTTACTGAGCTTTGATTGGTTTGCTGATGTGTTGTTGTTATGGGCTGCATTCACTGCATAACTGCTTGACCGTTTCTAATGATGCTCACGTCTTCCCTGCTTCTTGCCTGCATTTTAGGACTTCTTAACGATCAATAACAGCAAACAGGTGAGTGCGCTGACACACTGCAGTAGATGTAGGACTGACTGTGGCTCCTTCTGGACCCAGTCTTAGCCTGTCCGTCCTGTGTTCTTCTGTCACGTATCTGAGACTTTTCTGTAGGTCCACATCTGGTCTCCTGCTGTTTGTCCCCTGTTTTTCGGGCGATAACTTTGATGTGTGATGTGATTGTGTTTTTGGACTTGGTTTAACCCTTTGTTTTTCATGTTAGTCATTACAGCAACATTCACAAGAGAAGTTTGAAAACTTGCCTCTAACTCTTTTTGGTTTTGCTCTCAGAAAGAGGCAGAGGACGACATAATGACCTCTAAAAAGGTCAAGGAGCTGTCGGTCATTGACGGCCGGCGAGCTCAGAACTGTAACATCCTCCTCTCCAGGTCGGTCAGAAACATTGACAGGTCAAAGGTCACAGACCGTCGTGTCGTGTCTGAACGTACTGACGTGTTGTGTCCTTCAGGCTGAAACTCTCTAATGAAGAAATCAAGAGAGCCATACTGACCATGGATGAACAGGAGGACCTCCCCAAAGACATGCTGGAGCAGGTGGAGCACTCTCTTCTTCTTCTCTCCTCCTCCTCCTCCCACAATACTCTCCTTTCTTCCTCTTTTCACCTTCTTCCCCTTCTCCTTTTCTTTCTCATCTTCTTCTTTCTTTTGTTGTTCTGGATCGTCTTCTTCTTCTCTTTCTTTCCTCTTCCTCTTCCTTTCTCTACATGTGCATCGTGTTCACTGACACTCACTTCAGTTTGGAGGTTTTGAAAAGATCCTGTAAAACAGAGGCCTGGATTCTGTTTTCTCCTCATTCTCATCTGTTTTTCCTTCTTTTTTTTCCTGCTGTATCCACTTTGTCATCCTCGTCCTCTTTTTTTATTAGTTTTTGTCTCTTCTAATTTACTTCCTTATTTTTCTTTTTCAATGTTTCGTCGTTTTTTATACTGTCATTTCCCCTGTTTTTTTCTGTTTTGTCGTGTTGTCAATCTTCATCTTCATTTTGTCTTCATTTAAGATTTAACATTTTTTCATCCTGATTTTTTTTTTCTTTTTCCTCATCCTTCAAATTTATCTTTTTTTCAAACCATACATTGTGTGAATTTTGTCGCTGCTGTCTTTAAGATGAATTCCCAGAGATCTGTCTTTTATTGTCCTCAAAGATTGATGGTCTTCTGGTTTCCACATTTGTATATTTATATTTCCATGGTTACCTGACTTGACCTGACTTGATTTGCTCTCGTGTCGTCACAGTTGCTGAAGTTTGTCCCGGAGAAGAGCGATGTCGATCTTCTGGAGGAGCACAAACACGAGCTGGACCGAATGGCCAAACCCGACCGGTTCCTCTACGAGATGAGCAGGTGTTTTGGTTTTGGCAGTTGTCATCATTAAATGTGACGGGTGTCGGACGTGTGACGGCTTCTCTCCGACTGCTGCATCAGGCTGCAGATATGCTGACAAACAATGGTCATTGTTTCCACTTTAGTCACAAACACCTCATGCTTTACTGCTCAGCATGAAACAAAAGGCCGTTTGTGTGAATCACCATTTTTTTGGTTGGTGAACAACAGCGATAGTTGTTATAGTAATGACGAGTGTCTGAGGTGCAGTTTGGTCGACACAAATCCTCTGGGATTAAAGGACGGCTGAAAGCTGAACTAAAACCCAAAGAACAGTGAATACTGATACGAATGTTCTTGGTTAAGACGGACTTTAAATTTGTCCTTTTTCAGTTCAGGTTGACTCAGAGTAAAGAGTAAACTCCAGGACACATGTCACTGTGGTATTCATTAGCTGCAGAGTCTCTGGTTTATAAGCTGAAACCCTAAACTCTGCCAAAAATAAGCTCTGATGCCACAACAAAACCTTCTTTATGTGTGACGGAGTGAGCGCACAGTCCGTTTGTTTTATCCCAGCCCGGCTCACTGTTCATGTTTGTGGCTCAGTGTCTAAATTTGTGGATTTCCCTGTTTATAATTTAGGATTTCTGTCTACTCTGGTTCCTCCTGACACACATTTTCCATCTCCTGTCCAGGATAAACCACTACCAGCAGCGACTGCAGGCTCTGTACTTCAAGAAGAAGTTTGCAGAGCGGATAGCTGAGATCAAGCCCAAAGTTGAAGGTGGGGACAGACTCCAACACTGTGAACAGGATGATGGATGACTGTTTTAATATGTTTTTACTAGAGGGTAAAATGTGAAATATAATTCAGAGGCAGTTTGGGCCATTTTCATTTTCAGACCAACCTCAATCTTTTTCTGCTTTAGCTAGGTAAATGTAAATATTCTGCCTAGATTTCTTCCTAACTTTAGTTCTACTTGTTTTTAGCCAATTTTCAGCTGTAATGTTGCAACGCTTTGTTCTTTTTTTTTTTGCTTCTTTAAAACTTAGTAATTAATGAATAATCTTTATATCTTTAATACAATACTTTCCTAACTTTTAGCTGTCCTCTGGCTGAGCTTCTTACATTCGACAAATTAAAAAAAGAAAAAAACGTTAATCACGCCCCGGCGTCCTCTGGCTGAGCTTCTTACATTCGGCAAATTAAAAAAAAATTAACGTTAATCACGCCCCGGAGTCTCAGTTTATTTCTGACACTCTAACTTGAAAAGAAGTCAGGGAATTGTCTTTTATACCTTTGAAAACTGTTTTGATATTTTTATCTTATCAAAGTGAAGTCAAAATATATTTATTTTGACTTTACTTTGACGATGTCCAGGAGAAACAGCTGTCCTCTGTGTCTTTCAGCTCTGACCAGGGCGTGTAAGGAGATTCTTCACAGCAAAAACCTGCGGCAGCTGCTGGAGGTAGTGCTGGCTTTTGGGAACTACATGAACAAGGGTCAGAGAGGAAACGCCTATGGATTTAAGATGTCTTCACTCAACAAGATCGCAGACACCAAGTCCAGCATGGACAAGTAAGAACAGTCATAACATCAGATCTGAGCAGGCAGTAAACTCACATCTGGAACTCCACACCTGATATTCACCAAACCTCATCTGCTTTTTCAAACCTCAGTCTACATAATAAAAGCCATATATAATACATGTTTGACACATTTGTTTTTCTGCAGAAACATCACTCTGCTGCACTACCTGATCACCATCCTGGAGAAGAAATACCCCAAGGTCCTCCAGTTCCAGGAAGAGCTGCAGAGTGTCCCAGAGGCAGCCAAGGTCAAGTAGGTCGAGCCACCTTTAAATCAATGGTGTCAAACTCAATTACCCAGAATCCACTGAAATAAAAACTTACAGAAAGAAGGAGGTCAAGGGGGGGGGCAGTTAATACAAGAAAAACATTGAATTAACCATTGTTGAAAATATGCGGAAATTTTCATTTAGATTTTCACAGGAGACACAAATAAACAAGAATAGAAAATAAACACCGTTTTTTTTAAAATGATGTTGTTTTTTCAGCTATCCTAATAGCAGTTTTCAGTTATCCCCCAGGTTCATAACAAAAGGAAAAACTTGGTTGTTTGGTTTTTTTAACCAGGCGCAGCTGCAAAAGGAAAACATGAAAGGGGAGAAGTCCCAAACACAGCTTCGAGGAGACAGGAACAGAAAATGTTTCATGTTGTCTGGTTCTCTACATTTGTTCTGTATACGTTAGAAAAAAAGGCTGCAAAAATGTATACATCATATATATATATATATATGTATATAATACTTTTAAGACATGGAATCACCACACTGACACATTTGTTTCCTCTTCTAATCACAGCACCACATAGTGGTCATAGTAAGAGTCAGGGTTCTCCAGTGGTTCATGTTTTGCTGGTTTCCAGGTGTTTTGTCTTAAATGTTCAGACTTACACCAGTATTTTTACTGATCAGTCAACCGTCCTTGTTTGCAGCATGACAGAGCTGGAGAAGGACATTGGAAACCTGCGCAGCGGCTTGAAGAGTGTTGAGAACGTGAGTCAGAGATCCTGTTGTACTGTTATGTAATATTTGGTACAGTTTTAAGGCAGTTCTCAGTTAATTTCCCTCTCTTGGTTTCTCTCCATCAGGAGCTGGAATACCAGAAGAAGCGACCACAGGAGCTGGGTGACAAATTTGTCTCTGTGGTCAGTCAGTTCATCACTGTGGCCAGCTTCAGCTTCTCTGATGTGGAGGACTCTCTGACTGAGGCCAAAGAGCTGGTGAGTCTCCTTTAAAAGCCACGTTTCACAAGTAAAGACAAAAAGAACGAGAGTGAATCTGAGGATGAGGAGGGCTTGGCGTTCCCATTTTCTCTCCGTGCAGCTGTTTCTGCCTGACCTGTCGACCTCATCAGTCACCTTTTCTAGGCAAAGTAGCAGCGGGTGGTGAACGCCGCTGCTTCCTGCTGCAGCAGCGCTGACACTTTATTGGTCCGTGTCTCCACAGTCACAGTCACAGTCTGCAGCAGGAGCAGTGGTCTGGAAATTATTTTACACACTCGTGTTCCGCCTGGTGTTTGATTGTGTCACGGCGTGGGCGGCTTTGATCACACGTGAACGCTGCGTTAACACGCTTCGTGTTGTTTGAATCAATCACAGTGTGAGTCCAAGAGGAAATGATTAAAATCCAATGGGACAAAAAGACTTGGCTCACAGCTGACCTGAACCAGCAAACAAACACTAGTTTTTATGGCTCCAAACCTAATCTTGTTCACCTCCTAGTGGACAGTTTGACAGCCTGAAGTCTGATTTATAGATCTGTCCAACATGTTTTATTCTGCCTCTGTGTGTGTGTGTGTGTGTGTGGTTTGCATCGATCCAGGCTCTCAGTTGGTCACACGGCAGCCATTAGTGTCTGTGATTCATTTACATTTGAACCTGAGTGTGTTTACAGTGGTCGTCCGCACTAATGATGGGGAACCAGGGAACATTTGCTGAGCTTCTAAACAACCTCTCACATCTGGTGCTTGTATGTGCATGCAAATAAAAATAGTCGTAGAATATTTAGACTAAATAAAGACATTTTAGTTTCAAACATTTTTGTAATGGTTTACAGAAAGCATCCAGTCTTGTATTCAAAACACAGCGAGGCTCCAGATTGCAATGATTTAGTCACGATTTGCAGCCATCGCAAACGGTCGGTGCAAACAAATTCTGTAACGAGCGCCAGAGCTGACTTATCTTTCAGCTGCCAATAAATTACAATAGCTTGCAAAGAGCCTTTATCAGTCATATGATCGGCATCATATCAGGGGATTCATTTTCTCCCAGTTAATTTGGCTTTGTGAGTTAAAAGCTTTGATAGTTAGCTTGACTTCTGGATAAGGACAATGGTTTGGTAATGTAGCATCTTAACAGTCAACAAATGAATGATAAACTCTGGATAAAATGAGAGTAAACAGCCAAAAGTTTGCAAACTGTTGCAGTAATCAATCATACTTAACTGCAATTAACTCAAATCATAATCAAAAAAGTAGCACAAATTAGAAATAAAACATGTAGCCAACGTCTGACAAACAAACAAACAAAACAAATTGACATAATTTTTAAAGTTATCCCAAAATGAAAAATACGTTAGAATACACCAAAAGAAGAGTTAGCATTACAAACAAAAACGAAATAAAAAAATATAGCAAACCCATATCTATAGATAGCTATGGTTAGCACAAATTTTATATCTGAAATGTTAAAAATCTGAAGCACAAACAGCTAAAGGTTAACCACTAATAGTTAGTCATTTTCCCAAATATAACTCACTAAAAACCAAATGTAAGATGAAACATGTACCAAAGGTCACATTACTGGAAACAGAAGTTGCAGAATTTAAAGTTGAAGTTGTATGAAAACTGTGACACAGTGTTGAGGAACATGTAGCCCACATGTTTGCACCACCCGACAGAGGTAGCGTTTCATTGGCTGCTGTTAACACGCAGGTCTTTGAAGGTATATGTTCTCAGCAGGACCTCACATCTGGATGTTGTTCTGTTTTACTCACTGTGGAAAAAGGGCCACACCAACATGTTGGCTAGCTCTGGCTCCAGGCTCGGGCCTTGGCTGTGATCAATAGCCGGTCATATCTGTGTTAACATGATCATTAAAGACCCGACTACTGGTTCCATGCTCTGGTTCAGGAGTTGAACCCTCACAGGTCTCCTGTCAAACAGTCAGAGATGCCTCTACTGTGTCGTGCCCTGTGTCTGATCTGCTCTTCTCGTCCTCGGTGCCACAGTTCGTAAAGGCAGTGACACACTTTGGAGAAGATGCCAGCAGGATGCAGCCGGACGAATTCTTCGGCATCTTTGACCAGTTCCTGCAGTCGTTCGGGGAGGCTCAGCAGGAGAACGAGAACATGCGGAAACGCAAAGAGGAGGAGGAGCGAAGAGCTAAGCTGGAGGCTCAGGTCTGTCCTCTGCTCTTGATATTACATTCTTGGTCCAAGAGGAACCACATACGCTGCTAGTGACTACAGAGAATGTCTGAAGGTCAACCCTTTCTGGTGGTGACCAGACCTGGTTTTGACATTTATTTGAATCTAATCTTAACACTTGCAGTCCTACTGTTTACATTTGCTATTTTAAAAACACAGACTAAGCAGCGTGTGTCTTGCTGCAGAGCGCTACAGTGTTGTTGTACACTTTATTACCCATGACCACCCAATTTAGCTCTATGGCACAATCCTGTGGTCACAACTGGACATTTTTAAAATCAATGAAAACAAACAGCGCATTAAACAGACCGTGATTTATGCAGTTGTCTGTTGAATGGAGAAAATTCCTACTGTACGTTATATTTTTAACTTTTTGCCTGGTTTACCATGCTGTCAGAGAACAATTGGAAGTGTAAATCTTACAACCTACATTTGTCGAGTGGCGACTCCTTTTGCACCCTTGCACTTTTGAATATGTTGAGGAAAAAATGTCAGTATAAAATACAGTATGGAGTTACGATGGTTTTTTTTTTTTTCATTTAGATTTTTTTAACTCTTACATTCCCCTTCTGTTTCCGTATACACTGATTTACACTACATTTACACTATAGTAACCAAACATTTGTTATGGTAACATTTACCTTTATTTATCTTTTATTTTATTACCAGCTCAAAGAACAGAGAGAGCGGGAGAGAAAGGCTCGTAAAGCAAAGGCCAACGGCGAGGACGACGGCGGAGAGTTTGACGACTTGGTGTCGGCCCTGCGATCAGGCGAAGTCTTCGACAAGGACTTGTCCAAGATGAAACGCAACCGCAAACGCATCAATAACCAGAACACAGAGTCCAGCAGAGAGCGACCGGTCACCAAGCTCAACTTCTAAACCTGAGGCTGAGATCATGGTCTTCTGTGTTCCAGTAAAACACTCATCAACACTAGTTTCTCTGCCAGTCAAGCTGACCTCCACATTCCTCTTCCTCCTCCTCATCTCCTGCAGCAGCTCTGCCTGAATGAACCCTGGCCTTGCATCATGGCAGCCCTACCACACACAGCACAACACATTTGAGCCTTTCATCCTCTCAAACAGAGCAGAAGCCAAAAAACTGCAAACTAAGACCAAACCCTGGAGCCCCTCCTGCTGACGGACCAGTTTTTTTGGAAAATTAAATGTTTGTAAGACGTTCTAACAGAGGACCCTGATGGCCTGTGCTTTTTTTTCCCCCTCTTTGTACGTCAGAATCTCGTGCACAAAGCTTTACGTGCAGCTTTTTAGACGCCTTCGGGGCTGTATGCTCGACCCAAACAGGAAGTTGATTCCGTTCATAACAAAAGGGGCCATTTTGTACAGACCGTTTTCCTAGATCGTGAGTGGCCGCCGTGTCCCAGTGACACGTGGTCACTTTTTTGTAGAAAGACTGAACCTGTGGCTGACTCCCGGCGCTGCCGCTGGACTGAGACGCTGCGTCTTCACCCAGATGTGGTTTTAACAGCAAGTGAAGCAGAAGCAGAGGTTGTTTTTTCATTATCTTTGACATGCAGCATTTATATATATCTGTATGTTGTATTGTATTTTATTTTTTTCTGTTAAGAGCTGGCCTTAACTCTGTTGATTTTAAGGCATGTTTTGGGTGCTTTTTTAAATATTCATAAAAAATACTTTTTGGACTTTAAAACACAAAATATTCACTTGGCAGCATGTTTTAGGACATAGTCTTGCATTTTAAGGCATTTCGGGGACTTTTTATTTTTATGGATATTTTCACGATGGTAAGGCTGGTAGAAAGACTGAACCTGTGGCTGACTCCCGGCGCTGCCGCTGGACTGAGACGCTGCGTCTTCACCCAGATGTGGTTTTAACAGCAAGTGAAGCAGAAGCAGAGTTTGTTTTTTCATTATCTTTGACATGCAGCATTTATATATATCTGTATGTTGTATTGTATTTTATTTTTTTCTGTTAAGAGCTGGCCTTAACTCTGTTGATTTTAAGGCATGTTTTGGGTGCTTTTTTAAATATTCATAAAAAATACTTTTTGGACTTTAAAACACAAAATATTCACTTGGCAGCATGTTTTAGGACATAGTCTTGCATTTTAAGGCATTTCGGGGACTTTTTATTTTTATGGATATTTTCACGATGGTAAGGCTGGTAGAAAGACTGAACCTGTGGCTGACTCCCGGCGCTGCCGCTGGACTGAGACGCTGCGTCTGCACCCGGATGTGGTTTTAACAGCAAGTGAAGCAGAAGCAGAGGTTGTTTTTTCATTATCTTTGACATGCAGCATTTATATATATCTGTATGTTGTATTGTATTTTATTTTTTTCTGTTAAGAGCTGGCCTTAACTCTGTTGATTTTAAGGCATGTTTTGGGTGCTTTTTTAAATATTCATAAAAAATACTTTTTGGACTTTAAAACACAAAATATTCACTTGGCAGCATGTTTTAGGACATAGTCTTGCATTTTAAGGCATTTCGGGGACTTTTTATTTTTATGGCTATTTTCACGATGGTAAGGCTATAGTAAGGCATGTTTTGGGTGCTTTTTTAAATATTCATAAAAAATACTTTTTGGACTTTAAAACACAAAATATTCACTTGGCAGCATGTTTTAGGACATAGTCTTGCATTTTAAGGCATTTCGGGGACTTTTTATTTTTATGGATATTTTCACGCTGGTAAGGCTGGTAGAAAGACTGAACCTGTGGCTGACTCCCGACGCTGCCGCTGGACTGAGACGCTGCGTCTTCACCCGGATGTGGTTTTAACAGCAAGTGAAGCAGAAGCAGAGTTTGTTTTTTCATTATCTTTGACATGCAGCATTTATATATATCTGTATGTTGTATTGTATTTTATTTTTTTCTGTTAAGAGCTGGCCTTAACTCTGTTGATTTTAATTGTTGAATGGGTACTCTCATAGGCCTGGGCCTAATCTGCAATTTCTCAACAAGTGTGGACACTCATGTCATAGATTACATGTATCTATACAAATATAAGGTCATGTGCTGGTTATACATGCACATATGAATTCATAATTATTATGCTTACTGCCATTAAAACCATACCAAAACAATGCAATACACCTGAGTGTCCCCACCCTGTGTAATGTTCAGTGAAGCTCTCTGGTCACTGGTTGGACTCGCACAGCAATTAAAAAAAAAAAAAAACAGAAAAGTCTTATGGGAAAATAAATGCACAAGTGAAGTTTTCTGCAAGCAGAAGACATGGCATGTGTCACACAAGTTGGGCTGTCGTGAGTCTATCCAGTGACAGACGAGCTCCACTGAACTTTTATAATTTAAATATTGCCTTCCATTGTACAATGACCTGATAAAATAAATGGGAGAAAATGTTCCGAGTTCGTGTTTTATTCAATATCAACAGTTCCACGATGGACTGGAGTAAACCTGAACCAAAAACAAATCTTGTTCCCTGTAGTCAATTCAAGGGCTCTCGGGATAAACGGGCCAATCGCTCCATCTAGTGGTCATCATCTAACACGGTATTAATGTACAGTAGTTATAAGTAATTTCTGTTATTTCTGACAACAACATAAAAATAGGAGCAGCTGTCATTTAAATTAAGTTATAGAATTTCCTTTACAGAAAGAAAACTATACCCCTGCTCATTAAATTATAACATTACATGGCATTGTTATGTACGGAGCCCCTGAAGGGACAAAGTAAACACAGGTTTCTGGTGCTAATCTGTTAGCTTGTAAGAGCACCAGAAAGATTCTGTAGCGGATTATGTGGATAGATGTCCGGGAACATGTATTAACAAAAATACCTACACAGTAATTGTACATTGTGCTATTAGGTTCACTAATAAACATAGCAGGTGTGAGGAACACCTCATTGGTCTGTATGAGTCATGTGACCAAGACAAACTTCCTCCTGACCAACGTCCTCTCCAACGTCACTCCACAGTCTGTAGCGTTTGACAGAGAAAACGGTCTTCGTTTGTTTTTAGGATTTTCTGGGAGAAGTCCTGACTTTTCTCCCCACAGCTCCGGGACAACTCGAGGTAACTTCTCCTCTCGTTCTTGGATTTGTTTGTGCAACTTTTGAAAGCATTTATTTTGTGTCCATTTCCCAGTTTTAAGGAAGTGCTGCTAGGACTCATATTTTGAAAAACACAATGCCAAGAGCAGAGTTTTCTTTTTTCAAAATGATAAACTATTCGCAAGAATATTCCTTAAAATGCACACATTGTGGGTGTTTCTTTCTGGCACAAATTTACACCTGCATTGGTTTGGAACTTTAGTCCCCGGAGCCATGGTTTTCCTGTTTAGTTTTGAAATTATTTTTGATGACAGTGGGGTTTTAGCTCCTCCAGTGGCTGACTGTGTACAATACTAAAATTTACTCTGGCAGTGGTTTACAGAACAGATGAAATCAGAACATCTTCTGTTTGATGTAGATTTCTTATCTATTATATCAGTGTTTTAATATTATTTTGAATTTATTTTCAATTCAGTCTCTATCTTTGTGGGGTTTTTTTCAAGACAGTAAAGAACAATGCTCATGCTAGTATTTGCATACCAAGGATCTTAAACAGATTATGATCAGGCAACATGTTCAGGATTTAATATCATCGTCAACATATTAAAAGTTGGTTGCATGCAAGTTTTTTCAAATCAATGTATTACGTTAGCCCATGGTCACATGCTCTCAATCTGACAGACTAAAAAACAAACAAACATTTGACTTAACAGTGAACTCAAACTCTACATGTTTCATTTCAAAACAAAATCATTTAAAGCAGACGTTTCTGTCAAATAAAGGATGAGGGTTTTGCATAGATACTAGTGTGAAAAAACGTTATTTAAGTAGATAGTGAAGAAATCAAATTTCTGTTCATATTATCATTTTAAACAAGCAAGATAATTAAATAATGACATAATGTAGGGATTTAATAATCTGATTAATAATTTTCAAGGGTTAAAGGGAATTTTAAAGGGAATAATAATAATTGAAACAATTAAATGGATATAATTATTGCATTCTCTCTGAACATGCGTAGGAAGATGAAGCTAAGATCAAATGCAGGATGGAGGCTTCGTTATTTTAAGGCACATTTTCAAATACCTGACAGTTCATTTCAAGGACTTTGCCTTTACAAAAAATAGGCCTATAGAACAATATTTTTGTGCTCACTCATGCACCAAGCCTCGTGAAACTTGGTCTGATATTAAAATGTAAATTTGTGGATTGTTCATTTCCTCTTTTCAGCAGTAGAGGGCCACATTGAGAGTGAAAAAAAAAAAAATCACAAGTTGTAACATTACGAGAAAAATGCTGTACGTTTATGAGAATACAATCTTGAAAACGTATGAACTTATTATTGTAAAAGTACAACTTTGTTCTCATAAACTTGTGACTTTATTTTTGTAAATTAGAACCATACTTTTGTAAGTTTGTGACTTTATTGCCTGTATAAAAAGTTGACTTTATAAAGACATTGATTATAGGAGCACCAACCTTGATATGCACAGCTACCGTGCAGTATACTATTGTTTAGATTTACAAACATTTCCCCATAACTATGGACCCTAAGTAGGGATGTCCGATATTAACTTTTTGCTGATATCCAATATCGTTCGCCAGATATTATCGGACATCCCTATTAATAAGAAGTGGAGATTCCAAACTGTAGCATTTGGTGAAGACCTGGAGAAATTAACTATTTAATACAGCACATAAAACAGGAGATGAGATGGAGACCAGCAGCTAGGTTAAGACTCATGAAAATTCAAAATGTTCTGTGGACCACATGGTTCTGGGACACGTTTGATCACATGTGAATGTGCATCAGAGATCCTGTTAAAAAAAGTACAGAACAAGGTCTGTTTGTATTAAAGTGCCTCATTGGTCGTAAAGTCAGAGAGTCCCTGGTTGATTGCAGCGTCAGGTAACTCCCAGCATGCAGCATGTGTTCAATGGAAGTGTCCCTGGAGACCAGAGGTCCAGCAGGACATGCATCAGCGTCGAGGACAGGTCCAGCAGTGCATTTAAAAAGGCCCGTCGTCGTCTTTCGGTGTGACGGACCTGGAGGCTGTGTCCGTGTCTTGACTTCTGACCCTGGGTCTTGGAGAAGACGTTGGGGGCAGGGAGAGTCTCCTTTTTATAGAGAGTAACCTGAGGATCTCATTGACACGAGACTCCAGGGCGGACAATCGTCCACTCAGGATCTGAATGTCTCCTTTCAGCTCCTGCTTGGCTTCGTGGAGCGTCGCCTGCAGGAGCGATTGTTCCGATACAGGCTGAACAAACGGGAGCTTCACCGAGGCCTCGGCTTCTACGCTGACACCGTGCTGGTAGGAACTCCTCTCCACCGGGCTCTTGTCCAACGGGCTCCTCTCAAAGGAGTACCTGGACGCTCCTGCTCGGTCAATTCTGAGGTCACTCTTAGTGATCCCACTGTCGCAGGAGTCAGTTTTGTGCAAAGCACTAGTTTCTTCACTTCCTTCTGCTGCACTGTTGCCTCCTTCTTTACACCCCGTTCTTCGACTTTCCTCTGATTGGCTGTCAGCTGATGTCTGCTGTGAGGATGGAGAACCTTTGGACCACTCTACTGGTTTCTGTAGCTGCTTTTTTTTCTCACCAGCTGGAGGTGCTGGTGCAGCAGAAGTAGCGGTCCGAAACCTTGACCAGCCTCTAGCGCCTCTGCTACTTGTGACTTCACTAGATTCGCTGCCCTCTGCCCCAGCAGCGCTGCCCTCTGACCTGCTGTGAACGATCTGACACAGTTGGTTCACGGCGTGAGACCGTGACAGAGACTCTTCCATCTCCTCCGTGCAGCTTTGCTCTGGAACAAATGCTTGAGGAAGAGAAGTCAGGCTGCACCTGCTGCCTGCACCTCCTCCTCCTCCACCTCCTCCTGTGCAGGGTGCACTGTTGTCCATGGAGGAGTCAAACTCCTGGAGCTGAGACGAGACGGTCTGACAATGAGAGTATGAGTTGGAGTCGGCCTGGAAGTGGTGGTGTTGACGCTGCAGCTCCACCTGCACACAGTTGTGATCCAGGTAGAAGTGAGACTCCCCGGGTGTTTGAGTGTCTCTCTGCTGCCTGAACTTCTGGAAGAGCTTTCGGACTGGGTGGTCCTCGGGGATGGAGAGGGTGACGTCGCCCTTCTGACGCTCCTGCTCCCTCTTCACGTCAGCGATCTTCCTGAAGATGATCTGCACAAAAATGGCACAAACTATTTTTTATGATACTTTGACACATAGAATCAGAAATGTAAAAAGTCAGAAAAATCAGGTAAATGTCAGGTAAATATTTAAAAACCCTACTTGACTAATAACTAATTACCTAAAATGCAATTAAAAAACATTCAGTATTTTCATTAAGATATATGTTGATTTCCAACCCTGGCTCCGTTGGACACACACAACAAACCCAAACTTTATAAAAATCATATAGAATTTCTAACAGTAATGTTCCATTTTCTAAAGAAAAAAAAAGAACAAAAGCAAGACCTAGAATCTGCTTCCATGTGCTGTTCTAATATTAAACATTTCAGGTGAACCAGAGTAAACCTGTGCAGGCATGAACATGTTCTGAAGCTGCTCCTGTTAATTATTCATGTCATTTCTGCATTTAATACATTCAAAGAAAAGCTGTAAATATTTCAAAACACAGGAACCATTTGTTTGAAATTTGTATGAAATTTTTCACAAGGGAAACCAGTTTCCACTGCAGTTCAAAATGAACAGAGGAAATCCTAATAGTAATCATAGGAACGACTCATTAATATACATGCATCTGACTGTGACACAGTGGTGTGTTTTTATTTGAATCCACCGTGCGTTACTGCCTGCCCTCTTATTGGCTCAGCAAAGATACTATTCCAGTTCCAAACCTACTTTAAGTCAGATGTATTTCATACATTAGTGCAAAGATCACATAAATCACATGTACCAGACTGACATTAGGGGGAATAATCATCAAAAATGTATGTAATGTTGCTCCCACAGGATGGTATTACAGTAATATACATATGATCAACTACGTCTCATGACTGCAGGGGAAACGGCTCAATGTCTTAATGGGATTAATATGCAGAGCTTGAAAAAGCACAATCAAATATTAATTAGGATGTTAGACTGTGCTAAGAATAACTTCCTTATGTTTCCTCTGCATATATTTGTGAATATACTTACTGCTTTGGGACTATTACAGTTGAACTTACTTTTTTATACTTGCACCAATTGAATGGTACACTTCTTTTTGCTGGACCTAAGTTTACAAGTTTCTGTTCTAATATATATATATATATATATATATATGTATATATATGTATACGTATATATGTGTGTATGTATATCTATATATATAAATACACATAAGGATATATTTTTATATATGCATATATACATTTATAATAAAATAGAATCTTGTAAATATATATATATGTGCTACTAATCATGATTAATCATGAGTAATTGTTATTAAATACGATTAATCCACAGCTACCGTGCAGTTGGACCTCACCCCACAACATGTATTTAGAATGTCTGTCAAACATATTGACGTGATTTTCTTTATTGCCATGTAAGCACACGACGGCGACTGTAGTGTTAATTGTTAATTGTTACCCGTTTCCTCAGGTTGCAGGTGAGGATGAGGTGACGAGAGAAAGAGTTGGCGAAGGCGGTGTAAAACTCCAGCACCCTCAGTAGAGCCTCCTTCCTGATGACGTGGAGGTCACAGTAGGTCAGGGCTCGGACGTTCGCGCAGGCACGGGCCTGAGTGGTTTCTTTCCAGAAGGCATCACCGAACACGTCGCCCTTTCCTGACGAGAGGATGTACTTACTCAAGTTAAAGGTATAGTTCACGGTTTATGAAATGGAAACTAACTCATGGGCCAAGAAATAACCTAAAACAGTTGATCACATCAAGACAAACTGATGACCCTGATTTCTTTTTTTAACTAAAGACTCCTTGGTTTATAAAACTAGAGCAGCTCAGAGGGTTAAAAAAATTATTTTAGCAAAAGCTGTCTTAAAAACAGGCGAGCAAATAATTAAAACAGAAAACTATTCTTTTAGTAACGTGGCTAAAATCTTGATATTTTTTACAGTTCCTATCTTATTTTAGTGTAACTTCAAAAATACCCAGCCTTTCCCTTTAACAGTAAACGACATCCTGTGGCTCTTTGTGAAGGTGCATTAGGTTTACAGTGATGAAGTAACGTGACCTTCACTCACAGTTTTATCAACACAGATAATCCTGTTGTGTTGGATTACCTAGTATTGCGATGACCTCGTCGTCCTGGATGACCTCTAACGAACCCGAGACGACGAAGCAGAGCGTGTCCACGCTCTCGCCGATGTGGAAGATGAGGTCTCCAGGGGCGCAGTGTGTGGTTTGAAACTCTACGGCCAGGGAGCGCAGGCAGCCGTCACTGGCCAGACGAAAGGCTGGGTGGTCGTTGAACACCTGTCTGTTCAGGTGCACGCAGATGTCCGCTCTCATGTCTTTAGGACAAATGGACAGAACCTGTGGGGGACAGTTCACAGTCAGTCAGCCACACAACACAAAGCCGACCTGTCAAAATGAACGCCACGTTAAAAAGATTGACCATTTGAATGTATTTCTCTGTTGCAATATTTTTTAAGATTGTTGATTTATCTCAGAGATTTATCACTGTTAATTACAGTCATGATTAATCGTGATTGATCCACAGCTACCTTGTGAATGATCCGATGAAAAAGGAAAACGTGTAAATCCTAGGACAGACCTAATTTGAAAGTCCTGGGGTTTTTGGAGGTAAAAAGAATTCAACAGTTTGTTCTTTAATTGACTAAATGACTAATAACCATTTATGACGTAAACACACAGTTAACAGTAGAAATCCTAATTTTCTGTAATAATGATTGGCCACAAAAATTAGTTTCTCTTGACAGCACTTTGACATTCCTCTGACTGTGTTTTCTCTTTGTTAATTAATTTTTTCTAACTGTTCAGAGGAGTGTGAGTCGACTCAGTGGGCGGGGATTATTACGCACACTAAACTCATTAACTACGGCCTTAAAACTCTGGTGTTCTTCACCTTTAGTACAAACACTGAGGCTGAATCTGCGCAATCGGCAAAAGAACAAACGGTTCGAGCCACAGAGTTCCCATGGGGCCGTGGTATCAGTGAACATGTAATCTCCTGTTCTGACCTGTGGGCTCCTCACTGATCTGCTCACCTTTCACTAAGGTTAGTTGGACATGATAGTGTTCTGTGGCTCTCACCTTCAGTCACACTGCAGCTACAGGAGTGTTTTATCTCAGACAGACTAACCAGTTTCTCTGGTTTAAAAACAACCTTCACAACAATGTTTAAAACACTGCAGAAATACACCAGGATAGTCAGAAGGTACTGAACTATTACTTCCAGTACAACTACTGACTGCTCCTCCTGACCTTGTCAGTGTCGATGCCCTTGGACATGGCCCACGTGGACACGATAAAGTCCATGACTCTTTCACTCAGACCTTTGGGAACCTGGTAGAGTTTGAGGAAGTCCCGCACGTTGTTGAGCATCTCGTGGTAGCGGTTGGTGTTGGTGTACATCTGCTGGAAGATGGTGGTGACGTTTCCAAAGATGGTCGCGTACAGCAGAGCTGAAAGGACGGATACGGAGGGTTAGGCAGTGACAAAAAAGAAGAAAATAGAACATTGACAAAAAATGAATTTTATAGCACACATTTGATAAATAATAAAATTTAAAAATTAATCATAAATTAAAATGAAAAAGCTGTATTTTCCTTACATACAGTGATTCGTTTTTTAAACAGTGTCACTAATCAGTCCTAATTACAGCAAAGTGCAGCAAACTACTGTTGACAATACCTCTAAAGTTACCACATACAGTACACAGTCACATGTACACTGTGGTACTTCTACATCAGGCTCCCTAATGTACATTTGCTCAGCGTGAGCTTTTCTCTGCAGCGCTGCTCTGACCTCAAAGAGTCAGTCAGCATCGCTCGTCATGACGTCTTCACCCGCTCAGGAGGAGAGCGCGCTCTCCGGTCCTCACAGCAGTATCACTGTGGTGAAGTTACTTCAAAGTGGCGGCTCGTTGTTCTTTTACTACACTGCAGCCTGCAGGCAAACGCAGCCTTTACTCCGTCCCTCTCTTCCTCTCACACAGCTACTGTATCTGTGGCAGGAGATTCAGAGGGCGTAATCGAAGGAGACACCGCGGTGTGACGGAGTGATCCTCGTGATTCAAATGCCACCACAGTAATGGCCGTTAGTTTCTCTAGGAAGTAAAGACCTTAAAGCGTGGCTGTCAGACCGCGTTGTTCTTATCACATCACTACTCGCTGTTTCTGAAGGAACGGGCCAAAGGTTGGGGCATGGAGATGAGTGGCGATAGTACAAGTGTTGGCAAAGGCACCAGTGGAGGCAGCGGCACTAGAGGTGTAACTGTTACTGTAACGCCCACAGCATAAAAAAACAGACACTTGTATTGTTGTTAGTGTTTAGATAAAAAACACACACACACCCATGTGGCCTGTGGCCAGACAGGACTGAGATGACTAAACCACACACACCCATGTGGCCTGTGGCCAGACGGGACTGAGATGACTAAACCAGGGGTCACCAACCTTTTTTGAAACTGAGAGCTACTAGTTTGATACAGACTTCCCAAACAATGTGATAATAATCAGTTCTGGGCTAAAAATAAACCACAGTACCAGTACCATTTTTGACCCTCTTGTTGACTAGTTTTATTTTTAGCGAACATACCCCGCAGGCACCTTAGGTAGTCCCAGGGACCACGTTGGTGACCCCTGGACTAACCAGACAAAGGCAGGCTCCTAGTCTGTTCACGTCATTATTGCTGACCACATTTTGTACCATGTGTACCAATTCAAGTACTTTCTGACATGTTTTCAATCTGGAATACACAGTAAATAGCGAGAACTTACAGCCCACCATCATCATGGCCACGGAGAAGATCTTCTCTCCGTCTGTGGTTGGAGCGATGTTTCCAAATCCAATGGTGGTCAGACTGGTCATGGTGAAGTAAAGGGAGGAGATGTAGAGTGTGTCTTTGCTCGGACCGCCCTCCCACTGGCCCGTGCCGCTAGTGTTGTAGCGGTAAGGGGTCCCTATGCTGACAGCCAGCTGGTAGAGCCAGCTGTCGGTCTTGATGGTGTTGGTGGTCTCATCGATGACCTCGTAGTCACCGATGCTGTACCAGATGCAGGCCAGCCAGTGGGCCACCAGGCCAAACACACACACCAGGAGGAGCAAGACGGCTGCTCCGTACTCCAAGTAGTGGTCCAATTTCCGGGCCACACGGCCCAAACGCAGGAGACGGATCACCTTTAGGGAGCTGAAGAGGCTGCTTAGGCCCTGTAGAAGAAGAAGAAGAGGAAGAGGAGGAGGAGGAGGAAATGTCCGAACATGTTCTCCATGAAACTGGTTGTAAGAAAAACATGTAACTTCTCTGAAACACGTATGTTCTTACTGGGAGAACGGAGTCTTCAATCCGTGTGGTGTTCCTGTGGAACATTGAAGACTCACGGAGGTGATTGGCTGGAGATCCAGGTGTGACGATGTCCTTCAGTGGAACAGACAAACATTTATTTGAATGTTTTTTTTTTTTTAATCTTCCATTTGAAAAACATCAACACACCTCATTAACATGTTCAAAGGCGTTGATGATGTCATAGGGCAGACATGAGAGCAGGTCGATGACGAACCACGTCTTCAGGTAATTCATCCGTATCAGCTTGGCGTCGGAGATCACCTCTCCAGCAGGACCAACAAAGGTGGTGTGGAAGTTCAGCACAATGTCCACCAGGAAGATGACGTCCACCACGCTGTCCACCACCAGCCAGGCCAGATTGTTTTGCTTGGTCCTGAAGGAGACGTTGTAGGGCACCATGATGGCGGTGTAGAAGGTGAGGATGAGGATGACCCAGTCCCAGGTGGGCTTGAAGGTGCAGTAGTGGAGGATGATGTGAGGGGGCGTCTTGGGGGCTTCTTGTTTGTACTGAGGCAGGATGTCTGATCCCAGCTGCAGCGCCTGAAAGGAGCAGGAACATCTGCAATCACGCCACCTACCTGTGGAGTTTGTCATAGCACCTCCCTACTGTGGACCCGTCTCACCTCAGCCAGTCTGGAGGGCTTGTGGCTGACCTCAGTCTTGTTAATTGGAGCCACGTTCTGCACCAGGTTGCGATTGTTGGTCAGCGCTCGAGTCAGTCTGGCAAACTTGGTCCAACCTACTGGAAGACAAAAAGACACTTTTTCTTTAGCATCAGTGTCTCATTGTGGGTTTTTAATATTAATAACAAAAACATTTATTAATTAATATTAATAAATGTTTTCTTGTATTGCAGATTCTTCCCTCTGTCGTGTGGTTTTAAAGGTATGTAAAAATGTTTACATTTTCATTATTTTTGTGATTAAAATAAGATTTTACTAGCCTAAGGAAAAAAACCAGTAAGAAAATAGTATAAAAAATAAATTAGAAGACATATATGTAAAATAAGATTTTACTAGCCTAAGGAAGACACATATATACAGGTTATTGCAAGAAATAACCTGTACGTAAGGGTAAACAAGATTTGTAAAACTTTTGTTACCTTTTTTTTTACTATATTTCATGCCTCCTAAAGGGTTCGTAAAGGGTAAATATATACGTAAATGATACAACAACTATCGCGTCTCTATTTCGTGGCTATCGTGGGCAGTCTTGGAACGTAACCCCCGCAGTAGACGAGGGACCACAGTACAGTTAGGCAGTAGATGGTGTCATCAGTGTGAAGTCTGACGTCTCTAACCTCTCGTGGTTTCGTCTTCAATCGGTTGTTTAAACAGCGTGATGTCTCTGAAGGTGCAGAGGAACAGAACCACCTTGTCCTTCTCGTTTCTGATCGGCGCCACCTGCATGTAAAGCCAGATAGGTGTTCCTGCAGGTGATGATAATGATGAACAGTTGATCCGTTAGAGCGGGAGGTGAAGGTTTTCTACAAACAAACTCAAATCTGTGACTCACTGGTCTTTGTGTAGAGCAGAACCTCTACGAAGCTGGACTCGTAGTTGTCAAAGGTCTGTCTTATCTTGTCGATGGTCATCTTATCAGTCAGGTCACCGTACATGAAACTGCAAAAATAATCATCAGGTAGAAACGTTTCAGTGATCTGAAGAAACATTTTTTTTCTTTGTTCCTGGTTCTCCTGTTTCCAAACATCTTCACGTTCACATCCAGCTCATTAAATAATAGAAAAGCTCGTCTCACTTGCAGGTGCTGCTCCTGTGCATGACCTCCGCTCTGTGGTAACCGGACAGTTTACAGAATCCATCGTTGCTGTACACCACTGGCCACTCCACGATCTGGGCATTTCCCAGCAGGAAACTGGTTTCTGCAGCAAAACGGTAAAAAGCACAGAAGGGTTTCTAGAAACATTATACGTATTTAGGGATGTCCGATATTAGCATATCATGTTGGCCACTTTGGCAGAATGAAAAAAAAATGATATAGTTTGTCAAACTGATTGACCTTGAATATATGGTTGTTGTTTTTTTAAATGTAATATTGAGCTAAAACGTGCTAACCCTCATGCTACTGCAGGTGTGTTGTAAACCATAATAAGCAGAGAAAACAAAATGCATGAATATTTAAATGAATGTTGGTAATCAGTCGAGTCAGTGGACAGAAATAGTTGTTGATAAAATGTTTATGTTCCTCTCTTAATGCTGGTTAAATATTCATGAGAAGCAGCAAAGTTCTCCAGCTCTACAACAGTTTGCAGACGCTGCAGTCTCCAGAGAACACAAAAAAACCCCCGTTTTTTTTCTTCCAAATGCGAAATAAAACGCCTATAGGCTGCCAGCATTAACACATCTGCATTTTTACTGACAAATCCATGTGATTGATGACACAAATCAGCTCTAAAAACATTCCCTTCAACAATGCAGATCATTTTGTTCTGCATTTTTTTATCATAGAAATCTCCAGGTAGAAAACATTTCCTGGGCCACACTGGTGAGGATTCTTTCTGCTGCTTCCCATCCGAAGACAATTGTGGTGAATCTGCCAAAGTTTTTTTTTTTTTTTTTTCGTTTTTACTTTTGCCTCTTTTGCTGAGTAAAACATTTCACAGAAGAACAATACACCACTTATTAAGACAAAAGCCAAATGTCACAAAGTGCAGCTGAGTCACCGTAAGTAAATCCCACACTCCATATATCCCCACAAAAGAGCTTGGTCTTCCTTTTTTGTGTGTCTTCTAAACTACTGAACAGTACTTCTTTTAAGGGGATAAATTATTTACACCTGTCTGTGAAATGTACATGTTTTTTATGAAATCTATACAGATTTATCTTTTTGACATTTGTATTTTGTAAACCAGGGAAGGATGAATGGCTTTGACATTTGTATTTTGTAAACCAGGGAGGGATGAATGGCTTCAAATGTGAAAAACAGTCTGTCTGTGGTGTCTGTACTGAATAATGATACTACATATACATGTTACAGATTCAAACTGTGCAGAACCTGATGTATTAATGTAAACATCAGATGTAAAGACATCCGAAATCTCACTTGCAATTCTGTGCAGCTGATTTGAATTTAATTGCAAAAACATTTTTTGCAACATATTGATGACAAATATATAATGAATGCAGATTGTGATTAGTTCCTAAAATGATTATCTATTACTATCATATTCAGATTCTTAATTTCTTTACGTCCACAGTGGATCATCTGGCTCCACCAGCGTTACTCTAATCACCACCTCCATACTTTTCTCTGGAGTCTTCCTCTTTTCCCCCTGCCTTAAGGCTCCGTCTCCAGTATCATTAATCAGATATATCCACTACATCTTCTCAGCCCTTGTCCAAACCGTCTTAACTTTCCATTCTGATCCTAAAGATCAATCTATTTTATTCCTAAACTGCCCATCCTGGTAACTCACAATCTCAAAAATCTGAATTTTTTTCAATGTCTACCTCCATCAGTTCAGACTCCTGCATCAATGTCTGCAATCCAACCTCACAGCAGGTCTTACTTTCACCGTTTACATTTTTATTCTGTAATACATCACCTCTGTTTCTCAACTAAACCTACTCCACACATCACCTACGTTGTGTTCTGTTCAAATATTTCCCCATTTCTCTTTACCTATTTCTTGCATCTCTAGCTTTTTACTTTTTTAGTTGTTAATAAATATTGTATTGTTTCTACTAATTTATCAATAAAACTGTTAAAATAAATCTTAAAAACAAAAACATTTTGTCAATTGTTTTGTGGTTTACAGTTCATTCAGTTTATATTCTTTGATTGCTCTTAACTCCAGATGTGATATGTACTTAGATGTAAAAGAAAATACATTTTATGTACCTTAAACTATCTACATCAGCACCTGAGTATATATTGCATATGTAAAAATACCTCCTTGTTTATGTGTCTATAAAAGTACAGTACGCCCAGTGAACCTATCGGTCAAATACAGTCCAGCTGAATTTAAAAGAAAATAATCTCCAATATATATCTCCAAAGTTACGGGTAATAAACATAAAAGGTCTAGGTTCTCAGTCTGAAAAGGTAAATCAGAAGTGAGATTTCTATGAACACTGGCTTAATCTCATTCTTCTTATATTAAAAACTCACCGCTGGATCTCCGGACTATGTTTTCTAGGAAAGTGTTTTGTGGAGCCACCAGTCCTCTCTTCCCTCCATGCATGATGAAGCTTCAGGTCCAGACTCGGAGCTGGTAGTGGTGATGAAGATGATGATGCTGATGGTAACTCTCTCCCAGCCGCTGATAGAGCCGTGAGTGTGGACCAATAGCGTCGAGTTGACCAGCATCATCACCGAAGCTACATCCGGGCTGTTCGCTGTCGTTTGTTCAGTAAAAGCTTGTGATGTTATTATTTATTTAAGGCTTAAACTATAATGATATCTATTATACTATAGTTAAAAATAAAAAACAAACAAGAACAACAATGTTATCGTGAGTCCTATCAATGTGACAAAGACATTTTTATTTTGAAGGACGTTTCCTGTTTTCCGCTTGTTTCGTTTTTATCGCAGATTGCTTTACATTGTTTATTATGTTATATTGTACGGTATGAACCTTTATTATTAGGATTCAATTTTTATCAACTTACTTACATGCAATAACTGAGGTGAATATTTTCAATAATCATGTCAAACAAAAACAATATAAATAAGACAATATTTTTTCACAGACAAAAATGTCCACTTGACCCCTTTGGTGTGTTGTCTATACTAATTGCTGAAAAAACCTGTGATTCATTGTTGAGGTGCTCCTCCAGATGTAGCGGTCTTCCAGATTGTCATTGCTTGAGTTAATTTCGTAGATTTTCTGCTTGATTTAAGTCAAGCCTGTAACATTCACTTTGACATTTTGCATGCTACAAAGATGCTACGGTTTTGCTGCTTAACGCTTCAAAAATTTCTGAAAAGCATAACAATTTTAATAGGCCAGTTTATTTGGTGATCGACTACAAGAAACATTTGAAGAAAAAAAAATTTTTTAATGTGCCGTATTTCTTTTTTTTCCAGCAGAGGGCAGTAATAACAAATTGTGGACATAAACAACAGGAAGCAGAGACAACACTGTGAATAGTAGAAGAAGCCGTGGTATAACAGCAGATAACGGCCTTCTGTATGACGGTTTACAAGCCTGGGCAGGTAGCGGCTCCGCTTGAGAGATTTATTCTGGATTGACGAAACTGTTGTTACCCTGTCTCCATTTTACACGGTGTTTGGGAAAAGGTGTAGTATTTGCTGTAATGTATAGTTGTTTTTAATTAAAGAAGAAGACGTCATTCGTAGCGACCAGCGCATCTGCTTAAATTAAATTATACGCTCGTTTGTCGAACATGGACTCAGTTTTATCGCGGACTGAGGAGTTTTGTGTACTTTTAAACTAACCGTTATTTGAAGTCATGGCCAGCGGCTTCCTGAAGACGTTTGTACAAACGTGCAATTACCTCCAGGAGCCCCGTCATGTAGCGAGGTTTCAGAGATTTTGCGGCGTTAAGGGGACGTTTGCGGACAAACCGCAGGGCACCAGACTGACAGAGCAGGACTTGACCGGACTGAGGAAGAAGCGGGTCCAAAGCTCGGATGTCACTTTCGGTAATGGAGAAGCAGCATCACGGCAACTTAACGGCACACAAGGTGACCCAATCGCCGGGCCTGAAGGTCCATCAACGGCAGCAAATGTCCACCCAGACACCGTCAAGACAATGCCCCTCCGGAGAAACTCTCTGACCGGAGACGTGGGTCAAGAGTTCCTGATCCACAACAAGTTCCTCTTCTACCTGTTCACCTTCGGGACCGAGTTGGGCAACGAGATGTTCTTCATCATCTTCTTCCCGTTTCTCTTCTGGAACATCGACCCTCTGGTCAGTAGGAGGCTCATCGTGGTCTGGGCCTGGAACCTGTTCGTGGGACAGTCGACCAAAGACATGGTGCGTTGGTCCAGACCGGCGTCCCCTCCAGTGGTGAAGGTGGAGGTCTTCTACAACTCTGAGTACAGCATGCCCTCCACACACGCCATGACCGGAACAGCCATACCTTTCTGTCTCTTCATGCTGACCTACGGACGGTGGCAGGTGAGCCTTCATCTCTTCAGAACACCCAGCTGACTAACAGTTAATCTGAACGATCACATTGGCCACATAGTTTGAAGGTCAATCATCATGTTGAGGTTGTCATTGATTCAGATCATTTCCATCTCTGTAAATTTAGTCATGGACTTGCTCAGGATTTTTAAAGTTGTTCAAGATGATAAAGGATTCTGCAGCTTCTTCTGTCTGGATGACGGTGTCGCAGCGGCTTTTAAACACCTTTGCCATTGTCGTCATAGTGTTCATTGTCTTGATTTTTCAAACTAAATTTACTTCGTGTTCTATTGGAAAAACATGACTAAGAACAAACACCCTTCGGTAAATGTTTTCTGATGTGTAAGACTTGACAACTCACTTCATATTTACAAAATGTTCTTTTGTGTTTCATTAATAGAGACAAGTTTATTTGATGTAAAACACTGCATAAGCACAGCCATAAAGTACAAGTACTCTTCCACATAAACTGAAACAAACAACTGATATGTTTTTTATAAATTCTGGGCCCTAGATATGTTGTAACTGTCTGCTTCTTTGTCTGAAGAAACTGTTGTTTACTCCAACTGAGTAAAGAGTTTGAGGAAGTGGAAGTGAGAGGATGTAGGTGAGAGGCTTCAGTAGGGTTATGGTGTTTTGCTCACATTAACTTCACCATGTGATGCTGTTTACTTTACTTACATTGTAGTATAATTCTGTTGTATAAATTTATATCATATTGTATATTTATAAATTATATGGTATACAAAGTGTTTTGGTCAGTGATTAAACTCCTGTTTGACCAATAATATCAGATTAAATACATGTAAAGGTGGAGCTAATGCTAGCTGCTGACCACAGCAATAAACACTGCTGGACTGAAGCAGGATGCTGTCAGGGTGTGCCGGAAAACTGCGGGAGAGGAAAAGAGAATGAGAATTGTTTATTGAATAGATATGAAGTATGCTCGGCAGTAAGGCAGGCTGGCCTTAGCCCTTCACAGGACAAGGCTGTTCTCAACATGAACTGTTTTTAGCCTTGGAAATCTAACCATCAGCCGTTATTACATTCAAGCAACAGGCCAAACTACAACCAAGCACACAGAGGTCTGAATCTTCTCCTCGGACAGTGAAGGCATCACTGACTGGTTATGACTGGTGTTTAGATCTGTGTCAGTCGAGTACCATGTAAACACGGTACCAGTGTGTACCAGTGTGTACTGACCAAGTACACACTGGTCAAACAATTGTGTTTAAAAACAGATCTTGGATGTGGAGAGACATAAAGCATGTATCATCTCTGACCTTTGCCTGCATTCTTAGCAGAAACATATCAGTGAAAGAGTCAAGGTTTCAGAACCCTGATTTCCTCTGGAAAAACACATTGACGATACCTGTACTATTTATAAACAATTGTGGAAAATTTAGGGAAAACTCTTTGGTGTGTTTAAGACATCGATTGACTTTCTGTGATTTTTTTTTTTCTTTTGCTTTTTTTCCCCCTCTCCAGTACCCCTTCCTGTTTGGCCTTTGTGTGGCTCTTAGCTGGAGTGTCCTGGTGTGTGTGAGCAGAGTCTACATGGGAATGCATTCCATTCTGGTAGGTTCTAAAGTTCACTTCCATCAGCAAAGGCTTTCTGCCATCACTGACTCCTGTATTATATGAGATCGTGCCCACATCTGAAGTTGTAACCACTGACATGACTCCAGTACCAAGTGATGATTCACTTCAGTCTGTCACCACAACAGAGTTCTGTGCATTTGCATGGACGCCAGTGAAAAGTAAAACTTAGAGGCTGCTGAGGAGAAACAGGAGGGAGTAACAAGACGAAATACATCGCTTCTTCTGCTCCCTATTGTAAATGTCCTTGACATTCTGAACTCACACACACGCACACACACACACACAAGTGTGTGTGTGTCTGTGTGAGTGGAAAAGTTAGAGATAGTAAAACGATTAAAGCCAATAAATAACTTCAGACCACATTTCTTGACCCTGCAATGGAAAAAGATAGCAGGTATTTTGTATTTATTACAATGTAGTAAAAGTGATAGTGTTATGAATTCTAATATTTTGTTTTGCAACATCATTGATTTAAAATTATAATTAACCACGGTTAAAAAATATACGTCACTTTTTAGAAAATGAATGTTACATAGTTGCCAGTGTTTACATGTAAAATAAACCACAAAATGGTGTCATTACATTTATGACCATAATGTGTCATATCACAGAGCAGGCAGATGCCTGGACGAACAACTGCTTTCTTTGAACGACAATTGACACTAACGGTGACCTTAGGAAACAGGGGTTCATTGTCTGACAAGTGTCTGAATACAACACAGTTTTCTACGTGACGTGTGTTGTGGATACCACTGTCAACATTATAAATTGGTGGATATGGTTCAATAGCAGATTATTATTGATAATAAAATGTATAATTGGTATAAAATGCTCACTCCACTCTGATATTTCCACCTTACAGGAGGTGATCACTGGCTTTCTCTACAGCCTTCTTGTGCTGGCCTTTTTCAATCCAATTTTAGACCAGATTGACACCTTCTACATGACTGACCACTACGCTCCTCTGGTTATTGTCATCTCCCATGTGGCCTTTGGACTTGTGGCTTTCTCCCTGGATTCTTGGAGCACCTCTCGAGGTGATACAGCTCAGTCTTTGGGCACCGGTGCCGGAGCTGCCCTGGCTACCTATGTGAACTATCAACTTGGGATCCTGTCAGATCCACCGGCGTCCTCTCTTCCTCTAACATTTCCTCCACTCAGTGTGAGCTTGGTCGCCCTGTCCCTGCTGCGCTTCCTCCTAGGTGTTGTCGTCCTCCTGCTGACCAGAACGGTGATGAAAGCGGTGACCATTCCTTTCCTTTGTGGACTCTTTGGGCTGCCCGCCGACGATGTGAGAAGGGCGAGGCAGCACATGAAGGTGGAGCTGCCCTATCGCTACATTGTCTACAGTGTTGTGGGTTTCAATTGTGTCTCTGTGGTGCCTCTCATCTTTAGGGTCTTTCACCTCATCTGAGTGTTGTGTTCAAACTGTCACTGCACTGCTGACACCGTTCACCTGTAGGTGACGACAACCAGCACTCGGAGACATGCAGATACTTTTACAGTCATCAAGGACTACTTGCTTTGATTTAGCTCTTTTTTTTTAATCCAATGAGAAGACCACAGTTGTGTTTTTATACTTCCTTACACGTAGGTAGCTCTACAAAAATACACAAATGAACTAGACGTTTGCATGTCTCTTTGTTGCTTGCAGAATAAGTTGGTTAGATAACGCCAACTTTCAAAGCCACAGCAGATTATCTTTCATCTTACTGGTATTTGCTGCCTCATTTACCAGTATACCTGACCCCACCTCCATGTTGTCCACTCACTACAACCAAAGATCATTCCTGTTTTCCTCTTTTTGTATAACATCCATATGTCCTGACATCGTGTCCTCTTTTTGTCGATACCTTTGGTCTTGGTTTCCATCTTTGATCCTCCTCTGTCTTAGAATCACAGAGGCAGGGCTCACAAGCTCTTTACTGCAGGAACCTTGTTATTTTATGCCTTGAAATCTTAAATGGTCTGTACTGACTGAACATAGAGGTTTGCTGGTCTTTAAGACCATCCAAACGTCACTGTATCACCACTGCATCTGATTTTAGCACTTTTTTTCAACCTTGACCTTTTCAGGTTAAGAGACTAGAAGAAACATTGAAATGTATGCCTAGTATTAAAATCACAACCTAAAGTTAAAAAGAGGATGAGACAAACCCCTCCAGCATAACTATTCACATTTTGTTTTTCTTTTTATCATTCGAACCTCCAGTAAACCTGCAGCCAATAATTACAAACCCAGCCTAATTATAAGAATAATTGTTGAAGAATATAAATGAGTGTATTATAATCCACTGTGTCCACCACGGAAGGAAGGAAGTGTAAGAATAAACTTACATTTTGAGATGCATAAGTTGTGGACACTGAGAATACTGAGTCCAACATTAACAGCTATGACATCACATCCTCTTTCATTTGTTATTTAGGTTTAAACAGTCTAAAAAAAACTAAGTATTCCACCTGTTCGGTGTCATGGTAGTGTTTGTTTTTCACATCCATGGTCTGTGTTATACTTATTGTTACCTCCTAATTCTTTTTTCTTGTTAGCACAAATATAAACCCAGTGTTGTTAAGACTTGATTAGTTAGTGGGAAGAATATAATGAAAAATACAAATATTTTTGATAATTTATTTTATCAACTCGTATGTTTGAAGTTGCTTGAGAAAAAAAAAGTTATTACAAGACGTCTCATATGTTCTCTATCACAGGTAATAAAACATGGACTTTTTGCACTTGTCCAATTGTCAAAAGTGTTTTTTCCTGTTGTAATTTATTGTTAAATGTTCATATCAGAGCTAATGAATATTTGTAACTGAAATGTTAAGAACTCTTGGCTGTTTTTGTTATACAACAACTGAGTCTAAAAGAATAAAGAAACAATAAAATAATTGAAAATAGTATGAATAGTATGTATGATTTTCTTTATTTACAATTGATATTAATACATTGGTAAGTATTTAGAAAGTTAACATGAGACAAAGACATTAGAAAAGTATAATAAAATCCATAGTTATCAGTAATTAGAAACATTTATAATGTGTCTGATTTCTATTGTTGGAAACAACAGTTTGGGGGACTATTGTCACTACTGAAGGGAAACTACAGTGTAGGCAAAGGTTACTGCTTACACACCACATTGTCGTCTTGCGCAACCTTTGAGCAATTTTGATAAGGTGTCAGATGTTAATCTGTTTAAAATGACAAACATGGCAGATTCTCTGCTTGTTGTTCTTCTGGACTTTGACCGAGGGTCTTTATTGTATGATTCTGAGGAGCTCGTGTAAATCAGCACATGCTGCTAGTTCCTACCAAATATACAGAAAATAATTTATCATATTAATTAATTGTATTTGTATTGTATGTGTACATTTGTTTAAATACATTTCTCAAATATATATTTATAATTTTAATTTTAATAAAACAATATATAGCTGCACACCACATTGCTCTTCCACTTCCACTTCTTGAACAGGAATTATGCTGCACAACATGAACCTTTAATCCCCCCTTTTCCCCTTTTCTTCTATCGAAAGATATCTATTTTATTCATGTTCCACGAGGGCAGTCTAGCGTATGAACACAATTATGATGAAATCTTGTCTGGTAATGCGGTCGGTTGTTCGGTTTAGCTCCGCCAACAACCATTAGGCCATTAGGTTGTCTGGTCGATTCGCCCTCCGGTGGCTCAAACGTGCAACTGCATATATAAACAAGTTCCCACCAAAAGGTTGTCTGCTCTATGTGAGGTCCGGCCAAAACGTCGATGAGTGAAGTTGCACGTTTGAGCCACAAGAGGGCAATAAGTTATTGGTTTAAATATTCAGCCACACATGGATTAGACAACCCTTAGTGATATGGTAGTGGGATCGCGCCCGTGAATAGACGCTGCAGTTCAGCCTGAGCAATAAAGTCAAACCTGGTCTTTTTACTCTCAGACAGTTTACTACAACTCTAATTGTATAAAAAGAGAGTATTGTATAAATGGTAAATTAACCCATTAATCTGTTTATAAAGATCCAACAGTATATTTTACATAAAGTCAGAACATCAACAATTGGAGCTCCTCCACCTGGACCACAACTGCTACTACAACGACTTCTACTAATTCCAGTGTTGGCTGCACTTTTAACATTTGGGGTCTTAAGTTTTACCTTTTGGGTTTTCAAACATTTGCCTTTTCCGCAGGAGCCATTCGCTGTGTTTACAGAGCTGAGAACGCTGGACTGCAGCGCTAAACACACGCTAGCAGGTTAACTTGCCGTCAAAAAAGGTTTATCAAGAAATAAACTAACGCACTAGTGTCCATAAAATGGCTGAACATCACATAAAACTGCTTCATTATATAGTTTAAACGTGAAAAGTTTGTTTGTGTTAAGTTATCTTTCCCCCCGCGACATCCACACGCTCGACGACGACCAAATGTTTGTTTAAAAAACCAGAGCACAGATTTCTGGTATAATTTGTAGATCTGTGTGTACAAATAAATAAAATAAAAACATAAATAAATAGAGAACATAAGAGCAGTTTCTTAATACAATTTTAGATATTTTTTTTCAACTTCAATCAAACATAATAAATGATGATAAAATAAATTATCAGAAATATTATAATAATTACAATAAAGAATAATGATATTCTTTCCACTAACTAGTCAAGTCTTGACAACACTGGGTATTTCTCTTCTACGTCCCAGTCATTTTTGTTTCAGTGTGTCCATACAACTGTTGCGCGCTGTGACGTCACATCAGTCAATGTTCATAGTCAGTGTGAGAGCGTGTGTTCCTCGCCGGGAGCAGTGGCTCGCTCCTATAATCCAAGCGGCTGGGAGGCTGAGGCTGGCGGATGGTTTGAGCTCAGGGGTTCTGAGCTGCAGCGGACTGTGTCGAGCGGGTGTCCGCACTAAGTTCGGTATCGATATGGTTCTCCTGGGGGAGCTCGGGAGATCCAGGTCGTCTAAGGAGGGGTGTACCGGCCCAGGTCGGCAACGAAGCAGGTCAAAGCCCCCGTGCCGCTCAGTAGTGGGATCGCGCCCGTGAATAGACGCTGTAGTTCTGCCTGAGTAATACAATCAGACCCAGTCTTTTTACACTTAATAACTCACTCAAAGTGCTTTTTTTAAATGAAACGCAAGCTCTGCATTCATGATCAGGACCTGACGTCAATGTGTAGGAAGCTTTTACTGCAAGTCTGAATATCAACAAAGCCTTTTATTAGCGCCCCTCTGGAGGACAATTGCAACTACACCAAGAAGTCCTTGCACCTGTCCAGCAGAGGGATACAAACTGACACGAAACGAAAGCTTCATGTTGAGTAAACTGATTTCTAGACGTTTAAACGTCTAAATAATCGTCCCTTTCATATGATATCGATAAATATATTAATATCAGTATCATAATTATTAAATAATAATTTGATTTTAATTTTATTTTACCTGAGTTCCCAGCCTTCAAATTGTCTTCTGACTCTCTGACAAATATTCTGTTGTGGCTTTTACTCTGTCATTTTGTAAAGAACATATGTACTTTGTGTTCAGTGCAGTACAACGTACATGTACAGTGATTAAGCACAATCAAATGTTTTACCTCATGATTTTGAGATACTTGTGATATTTTGATGACATTTTTTTTAGTTAGAAATTTCCTCAGCAGCTAAATGTCAAGTACTAAAGGTAGAGAACTGCGATCACTGGCGCTTCAGACCAATGTCGTCTTATTTTTACTTCCATACGACTAGTTAATCATCTTGTCTTGTGTGTCTGCCTTCTGGTTAAAGCACGATTTGACGAGTCAGCTCTCCTCCTCAGTCTGTTTTTGCTTTTTACAGACTCGATTCTGTCTTTGGACAGCGTTAAATGCCAACTATCAGACATGTCTGCTGTTGCTGGAGCTCTTCAAAATTTCTGCACTGATGGAACATGTTTCTGTGTGGGAGGACTGTTCTGCCAAGCAAAGCTGTTTTGGTCCAGTTTTTCTTTTCTTTTTTTTTCTCACATGAAGATCTAGTCCTCTCAACACCAAATGTTACCTAGTGACGGAGCAAACAAGAGTGAAGTATAAAACTGAAGGGATTAAAAGAGTTTGAAGACATGCCTTTAAATGAGAAAAAAGAAAAGAAAAAACACTGTCAATCCCAAAAAGTTGGTAGAACTGTACAAACCTTCAAAACAAAGCAGCGAGGCTTTGGTTGATGCCCCTTTTATACTTAACCTCCTTAATTGAACCTGTCACCAATTCATCTAGTTCTAATTGCAGCAGAATTCTCCAGAACATTGCTCATATGTTGTCTTCATTACTGGCATTTTGGACATTTCTCTTCATTCTGAATAATATAAATACGTAGGTAAATATCGTACAATCTGAAAACATCAAGTTTTTCTTTTCTTTTTCATTTTCAGGCAGTGTAACGAGCTTTCTGGAAATCTGTGTTTGCATTGCCAGTATACTCCCCCTCAACACTGTGGCTCGTAAATTTGGTGCATATCTAATCTCCTAGATGTAGACCTTTAAGAATTTTGAGAGTCATTTAGGGTGAGAATTGAGGAGGGAATTCTGCAAGTGGGGGTTAGGAGAGCCCCTTACTGGGCTTCAGATGATTCCTCTCATTACAGCAGCTGCTGTGCCTCTAACAGGAGAGTGCAACACAGAACTGGAAATTACCTCATAGTTTGTGTAGAAATTCACAACCCAGTCATCCAGGTGGAGCTCGAAGAGACACCGTCTCTGGAGGATTCAGTCGAAACATGACATCACATGTAGCTGCTCCAAAAGAGGAAGAGAGAAAAGTCTGGGTGATTCTCTCTCTCTTTCTTATACACACACAGACACACACACACTAAACACAACTAACACTAAACACACTCTGTGATAACACGTTCACCACAATTAATCAACACCCGACCCTCCTTAACTATGACTTATCCCAGTGGTTCCCAAAGCGGGCGGCTGGCACTTAGTTCTCAGAAAGTCAAATTCATTTTAATATTTTCTCAATAAGTTGCACTGATTTTGTCCACTTTCTATCCTCAGGATAAGGGCAAACCACCCCAACAATAACTTTTTAAAGTTTCATTCAAATGTTTAGCCTTAGTGTTCCCTGTAATAGACACATTTCTCACCGAAAATGTCAGTATTAAATATAAGTCTTTATGAGCTGGAAATTTGAACAGAGAGTCTTTTGACCCAGTGACAGTTTTACCTGTGACTTTAGAAACACCTGAGACACGTGAGAGACGTGGCTGTGTTCATCTATGTGTGTGTATATAGTGCTGGGTTTTCAGGGAAAAAACACCTGGTCGTTGTAGCAAATAATAGTTGGTTTTTCTTGTGTTGACTGATGTTTTTTTTTTCCTCCTTGAAGGAATTTCCTCCATCCCTGTGCTGCATGAAGGACATGGACAGATCTCTGTCTCCTCCTTTTCTATGTTGTCTTCATCTTTTCAATATTGCCAGGGTCTTTTACATCATAGCAGGTTTCACTGCAGTGAAGTCTGCGAGCTTCCCTTCCACTCTTATCACTTCCACAGTCAAAAAGTTTTTTCTTGTTTTCTTGTTATTTTTAAACTTTGACATAATTACTCCCTAAAACCACCTAAGAACCAAATCAACCTTGAGGTCAGGTGAAAATCTCACATTGTGGCATGAGGTTGTCAAAGACAGCTAACGTCCGACCAACCCTCAGTCATAGTATAAATCAGATCCCTGCTTAGATTACTATGTTGTTTTGCTGGAGTTTTCGAGTTTACCTTATCTGCTTCAAATTTCCATCAGACATGTGACTTCCAGTTTAATGCAACTTACCAGAAGCCACATCAGATACAACTAATTAGACTCTACATATGTGTGTGTATGTGTCAGAGAGAGGGGGGGTGGGGGGTGGGGGAGAGAGAGAGAGAGAGAGAGGAGGAGTGGCAGAAAAGAAAAGAGGGAAGGAGTCTCGTGTGGAGGTAAACTTCTAGTGAGAGCAGGTTTTTGTGCTGTACGGACTCTCCTCTTCTTACACACACAGACACGCACACACACACGTCCTCAAAAACCCAAAGCAGAAGTGGACGAAGTCACTGGGTTTCAGTCACTGAGGTCGGCTATGGCTCAGGGCTCTGACAGCAATGACACAACGTACAAATCTCCCTCACCTGCCAGCAGGACGGTAAGTGTGAACTTCTGTTCCTTTATCTTCACATTGCACCCAGAGAAGTAGCCTGGCGTCGGCCACCATGAGTGTAGTATTTAGTGAAACAGCATCACGTCTCATCACAGAGACACCAGCTCGTACTCCGAGCAGTTTCTCTGTGTGGTTCACATGCACACATGGGCTGGAGGCACGGCTGTTTCAAACGGTGACTTTTTGCAGACTTCAACATTTCTCCATGTGGGAGGAATCTTTTGTTTGTGCACATTCTGACACTTTATTTATTTATTTTTTTAGCTCAGGCTGTGGCAGCATGTGCTGCAGGTTTCAGTGCCTGCGAGAAACTGCCCATCATGCTCCCTAGTTTAGTAGTTTCACATGTGAGATTCTATGGCTACTCATCATGTTACAATTTTTTAATGACAATTTTTACCCGAACAAGGGATGGATACAGTTTTAAGAGAGTGTACTTTTTTGTGTAAACACAGTCAAACGGACAGGGAACTGATTTGACAGTTTGAAAAGTATTAGTTATTTCGATACCATGAAAACCTGAGTGTACTGTTAACCGATGACTCAGTCACACCCCGACCCTGCCCTTAGGTGTACTACACCCATATTCAGTCACGCAACAAGACCACACTCTCATTCAGTCTGTCCTCGTTGTGTTGCTAGGGCTCCTCAGATGATGTGAAGAAGGTGTTGCGGCGGGAGAAGAACAGGCTGGCAGCTCAGAAGAGCAGGATGAGACAAACTCAGAAAGCTGACAGCCTACACTTGGTGAGAAGACGTTTCTTTGACTGGTACCATTCATCACTCCTTAGGGCGTTTTTGCAGCCAAACAGGAACCCAAAGTCATACAGTACATCTGGCTTTCTGTACAGTATTTAACAGTAAAAACATTTTGTTTTTCTACCTAGAACTACTAGTCTAGACCAGGCGGGGGCAAACTTTTAGACTCGCTTATAGGCCGCATTTGGTCCTAAAATTTGACATGGGGGCCGGATCGGGAGCAGTGTGAAAATATGACAAATGACATTTAAAAGTAATTTATAAAAAGCAAAAATGCTATTGGGGAAATGACAGACGTATGATGACACTTGAAATTAATAAAAACATTTGGACAATTTGACGGGCCGGATTTAAAAGCCAAACGAGCCACATCCAGACCCCGAGCCGTAATTTGCCCACGCCTGGTCTATACCATACACAAGACCTTTTTTCTCATGCACATTAATGCATCAAAGTTCTTTATGTAAGTAAAGTGCAAACGCGCGGTTAAAGGCAAACAAATGTCCAAATAAAGTCCTTATAAAAGGCGGTTTAATCGGCTTGGCCAGCGTGTGTTGCATACATGTGTACGATGCTACCTGAGCATGTGGCGATGTGTCATGGCTCCTGTCAGCTTCTTCTGCACACTTGGACGCTCCTCGGTGTGTTTTCAGAAGCCTCAGGAATAAATTAGCACGTGTGGGCAGTCCCTGGCCTTCACAGCACCATCCTGCAGCAGAGAGTACACTGCTATATTCTGATGACTAGGGGGGGGGGGTGTCATTCTCATTTCAGTTTTACAGTGATTAAGTTGGACAAATGGTTCTGTTTTTAACACACAGAGCTACATTTCAAAGACAGTAGGAAAACTGACAAGAGACTTCTCTCTACAGTTTATGAGCAAGATTTACGAAACAGATGCGCATGCGTGATAAGTCTGTGCTGAAAATGTTATTGTAATGGACAACATTAGAAATATTTAATGTATAATGAAGTTATCATGCTGTGTTCACCACCGCATTTTATTGCATTTTTTCCTGCAGTCACGAACCAAGATATATCAGATTATGTGTTGTTAAAAAAACTTTTTCTCTAAACTCCAGTATTTCTTCAGTACTCTGAGACATTTTTACTTTGACATTTCAACACAGCAGGGAGGGAAAATTCTACAGGGAGTAGCATTTGACTGGTGCTGTCACCCTGATGTGTGAAAAAGTTGTCTTTGTCAGATATATCTTGACCTTTGGTGCAGCGGCAGTCTGTGTAACTGATTCAAATACGTGACACACTAGTGAGGACCCTTCCCGTGAAACACTGTTATCAGTGACTTGTCACAGAGAACACCAGGAGACCACAGCGCTGTGGTTTTTTTACCTTCATCGTCTCACTTCATCAACAGAAAATTTTCCCTCTTTATGACACGCTGGCCTGTTTCCTGTTTCTTTGGTAATATTTTGCTTCTCCTTCCGTGTAAATGGGTTTGAAATTTTGAGCCGTGGGCAGAAGGGAAGAAGGAGGCAGTCACTTCTTGTAAAGTGCTTGTAGCAGTGGGCTGTATTTGGCTAAGTGACGCAAGAGCATGGGGTTTGCCCAAAGGTTCTGTGACAGTAAGGTCGAGGTTACGATCTTTTGGGTCGGCGTGTTGACCTTTTTATTAACCACAAAAAATGAAAATATACCACCAGCGTGAGAAGGCTTGATAAGGAGTTAGATTGGTTGACCTTAAAAACGTAGCTGTCTGTCTGTCTCACAAAGCTAAGCTAACAGTAGCTTAGCTTAGCTTTGTGAGACAAAACAAAAATGTCACTTAGAAATGATTTCGTATTTTTAGCTCCAAAATATTACTTAAGTCATATAGGTGAAGTATTTATTTTCTAAAATAATTTGTATTCATGTAGTATTTCCATCAGAGAGGTGGAAAATTCATCACAGCTGAATCCACCCATGTCTGTGCTTCTGAGCACAAACAAAACATGTGCCACAGCCTGTCATGTTATCACTCTCACCCACTGTGCTGAATGGAAACGTAAGGCTGGAAAAAACAAAAAAAAAACAACACACACAACTGAGGCTTCAGCTGCACTTGCAGATCACTTTGGGTAAAAACACCCAAACCTTTGAATGTCAATGACATCACTTAGTGCACACACTTGTTTTGCCTTTAAATTTCAACACGGTCAGCAAAGTTCTGTCACAGTGTAGTTCAAACAACAACACAGTGATGGAGCCAGACTTTACATGAGATAGTACACTTCATGTATTGACGAATACACGTTTTATAGTTCTGTGGTGTTTGAAATACCCCATATATGTAAATGTATATATGTACATATATATATTTACATGTACAAGTTGTTACAATTGTTTTAAGCAGAATAACAACAATAATATTATATTATGTATAATATTTGTAATGTAGAAAGACTATCTAAAATAAAAATACTAAAAATATCTTTTCCAAATTAAAATATTAGAATATATTTAGTTACTAAATTATTTTACTTGAATGTAAGTACATTATATATATAAATACATAACCATATATTTATGTGTATACATATGTGTATGTATTAGCTTTTCATTTAGACTTTTTTCAAAAACAAAGAAATACTGCTTTCTGTTTCAATCCCTTCAAATATCCCTGTTTTTGTTTTCCAGGAGAGTGAGAACCTGGAGAAGGAGAATGCCGCCTTGAGGAAGGAGGTGAAGCAGCTGACGGAGGAGGCCAAGTATCTGACCTCCGTGTTGAGCACCCATGAACCCCTGTGCACCGGCCTGCCTCCTCAGACGCCCGACCTCCTCTACCCTCCTCACCACGGCAGCTACCACCAACCGCACATCACTGTACCACACTACCAGCACTGACAGCAGTGATGACCAACCAGAAGGCTGCGAAACAGACGACTGACCTCAGTGAAGAGAGACTGACTGGAGACCGTCTGTGAATGTTCTGAGGCGGATGGAGGAGCAACGCAATGGTGCGTTGGCGAACCAGCAACAGTATGGAGGCCAAACACAGTATTCAAGACTATTTATTTTTCTGGCTGTCTGGGCCAGATCATGTTTACATTGAGCAAAACCAACAACTTGCTGTATGTTCAGGTGACTCCATCAAGTATTTTGTGAATTGTTCATTTCAGTGTCATATAGGTTGAACCTTGTGTGGAATTGTGTTTTTTTTCTATGTACACGGGTGAAAGAATTTCCTCAGGAGACTTTTTGACATAGATTATAAATATGAAACGGATTTAGGTCTCTGGTTTAACAACGGGTGAACCAGCATTTTTTATTAAAACTAAATATAGAATCAGTAATTTGTCTTTAAGCAGTGACTAAACAAATGTAATTTCTCGGTGACGGAGATGATCACAACACCAATACTGTCTGTTTTGTTTACGGCTAAAGTCATGTCAAGACATGTTTTGTTATCATCTCCTGTCAACACTGCAGCATGTTCTTATTCAATATATCATGATAAGACTTGTATTTCCACCTGGTTTAGAAAACCTGCAAATATTCTACAGAAAAGTGGTGATGTCACACGTCCGTACTGTGTAGACAAACATTTAGCACAACTACTGAGCAAAAACTGAAATACTGAGAAGAAACCAGGATCCCGAGACTTGATCACTTTATGGATGTTAATATAAAGGCTGTCCAATAGGAGCTTGGTTGCAGCTACATCTGCAAAGTCCATTTTTCTGGATGAGTAAAAAAAAAAAAAAAACAGAAGTTGACTCAGGTGAATTCCTAAGAATTCTGCAACCTCAGTCCGTTTCTTATATTGCTGTGTTTTTGACAGATGTGATTGTGGACATAAAGAATGTAACATCAGAATCTTACGTACAGTGTAGGCTTTGATGTACCAAAATAAAAGTTGGTCAACCGTGTTTTCTGACGTGTGCACTGAAGAAAAGAAGAGAAACAGCAGGGATATTTAACAAATGTTGGTTCATTTGTTTGTTGTTTGTTTTGTTCCCTTTTCTAAGATCTCTGTTGACGCTGATAACACGTTGGAACATGTGGTGGAGGGGACAGACATTTCTTTTAAAATGTCTCTAGAGGGCGCTGTTTGCTCGTGTAAAAGACTCAGACCGTAATAGTAATAGTATAAATATTTATTTTTGTTAATTTTGATTCTGTACCGCAGCGGGATATTTTATGTCATTTTATGTCACAGATGGACCTAAAAGTCCAAATAAAAAAAATAAAAAAATAAAATGATTAAAGAAGGTCTGTGTTTCGTTAGATTTATTCAAAGTTTTAAACGTGGTATCAAAGGAGTTGTGGACCAGCAGTGACTGTTGGTGGATGTGTTCGAGTCATACGGACAGGCGTTACAGATCAGAAAAGAAACCCCATAAACCTTAGTCTGAAAACTCCGCCCTAAACAGTGACCTGAGCGACTTATTTCAGGATTTCACAGCGGATTTCAGCTCCGGGTGGAGGGTCACGGCAGTCGCTGCTCCACGTGCCTGTTCGGTTTAGTCAGCCAAGGAGGAGGTTCAGAATTTACTACAACTATAAAACGACTTAAAGGGACCCGGACTTTGTGATCGATCAGCGCTTATCAACCAACTGTCACTAATTCCGGAGGAACTTGATTTACGTATGCGGCATTTCCACACGAGCAGTTGCACTTTGTTCCTAACAGTTTTTGTAAAGTTGTTTGGTTGACGTTATGTTAGAGTTGTTAGTCATTGTGATTTCATATTAAGGACGTTTGTTTGTTTTAGTGTAGATTTTCTCGTTGGAAACGTCGCTCGGTTCTGTTTTAACAGCGAACGGTTTTCAGTTACTTTGACGCGCAAATACTTTAATGTTAGCGTTTTACTACATGAGTATACGGCAGAGATTAATATGAATGAGAAACAGGTATCAGGAGATAATGATCTGTACGACGATCGGACTACAGAGGACGCCGAGAACCATGTCCAACTTGCAGCGGGGGACGCCGCCGTACTGGCGGAGAAGGACGACCAAGCGGCCACGCAGACCACCCGTCTGTACAAACGGCGCTGGATCATCGTCCTGCTCTTCAGCTTCTACTCACTGAGCAACTCCTTCCAGTGGATACAGTACGGCATCATCAACAACATCTTCATGAGGTTCTACGGTGTGGACGCCTTCACCATAGACTGGATGTCCATGATCTACATGCTCACCTACATCCCCTTCGTCTTCCCGGTCACCTGGCTGCTGGACAAGAAGGGGCTGCGTGTCATCGCGCTCATTGCCACAACCCTCAACTGTGCCGGGACGTGGATCAAAGTGACCAGCGCCAAACCCAACCTGTTCGCTGTCACCTTTCTGGGCCAGTTCTGCTGCTCCCTGGCGCAGGTCTTTATCCTCGGGATGCCGGCGAAGATCGCCTCGATGTGGTTCGGTTCAAACGAGGTGTCCACCGCCTGCTCCATCGGAGTGTTTGGGAATCAGGTGAGGCTGACTCTTTTAAATCCACAGTTGTTTTGACATTCTGACCCATAATCACTTGGATCTTTCCTCTTCCCTGGTTTTGGACACGTTTGCGTAATTACGCGTGCCAAAGCGGCCACACAGAGTCAATTACGCGTTCCAAATGTAACTGAGTGTCAGGGATGGAATACCAACATCACTCAGTAATGCAGTGAAACATTGTGAACTTCCTCCATCAGCTGCGTTGTTCAGTCAGTGGTTCTCAATTATATACTGTCATTCTGAGGACAGAAATGTTTTCACACACACACACACCCTTAATTAAGAATAGTAGCCATACTTTTATTTAACATGTTTTGATAACATGTATCAATATCTGTACAAACAACTGTAAGAGTTGCTGCCACCTAGTGTCTGGAGGCTTGTTATCATTCAGCATTACAGCAGTGGTACACTTCTGTCCATATCTGTGCCATTGGAAGCTCCTCACACCTGACCCCCTGCAGCCCCCCCCCCCCGCCCCATTATTTGAGAAGTACTACCATAAGTCGAGGAACCTTGTCGCTGCATCTACATATAAACCTACGCATACGATAAAGTCATTTTATAGACAAACAACTTTATTGCTTTCAAAAAGTGTTTTGTCTTGAGGCACAGAGAAGCAGATCTTTTCCCTCAGCCCTGTATCGGTTCAGATTGAATTATTTAACTATATATTTAACACTACAACAGCACAATTGTCTCAGAGACACAGCACCTTACAGTCCAGTGGGGCCTCACTTTGTCTGTGTCATGTGAATTATCTCAGAGCATCCAGATGTTGCTGAAATCATCATGTTTGACCATGACACACCCTTCATTTGCGCCCCCCCCACCATCCTCCTTTTCCTCAGATGTGGATTGTTGTTGGGTTTTATTTTTAAGCATGACTATCAGGCATGCTTGATAAAGAATAAGGCCTGATGAGACAACTCTTTAGGACAATAGTCCAGAGTCTGTTGCATACTGACCTAAAGTGGTTGATTGTCAGTAATGAGACCACATGACCGTCTTGTAGGTCACAGATATGTGGTGTCACATATATATGCCGTCACTCCAGCACATTTGTGCAGTGTGTTTGACCAGGGTCAGCTCTAGGAACATGACCTAGGTTCTCCTTAGACCCAGCTCACCTCTTACCTCTCACATTCAACATGGTTGGAATGCCACAGACCAATACTGTGGAGGACATCTACTCTGAATACGGCAGTCAAGGATGGCCACGCTCTACGGCTGCAAAGTACCAGTCTTTGGACAGTTCTCGGCTGCAGTGCAGTTCAGGACCTTTGAGCAGACCCAACTCCGTTGGCTCACAGCTGAAAGTTGTGTCCATGCAAGGAGAACGCATTCAGTTGCTTCCGAAGATGGAGACCAAACTCTACCGACGCCGATGGTTAATGCTGTTTATCTTTAGTGTCACCTCTGCCAGCAATGGCTCCACGTGGCTTCAGTACAGCATCATCAGCGACATATTTATGCGGTTTTATAACGTGGATTCTCAGACTATTGACTGGCTGTCTTTGATTAGTCTGCTCATCTATGTCCTACTTTTTCTGCCTGTCCTCTGGCTTCTGGACAAGCGAGGACTCCGGGAAGTGGTCCTTGTTGGAGCGGCCTTCAACTGCATTGGTTCTTGTATAAAAATTGGTAGTGCAGATCCTAAACTCTTCACCGTCACCTTTGTTGGTCAGCTCACCACCTCCACAGCCACAGTGGTTTTTCTGAGTATTCCTTCTTACTTTGCCTCGGTCTGGTTTGGAGAATCGGAGGTTTCTACTGCCTGTTCCATCGGTGTCTTGGGTTCTCAGGTTTGTCTGAATGTACATTACTGACCAATGAACTGAGAGGCAGTGTTAAAAAGTTGATAACGTTCTGTGGGAAATGGGATAAGAGTGTGTGAGTCAAATGGTTACTCACACACATATTTTCTTCCCAGAAACAGAAGATAAGTCTGCACTAAAAAAACACCAAATTCTCAGACTCACTCACTCAGATGCTGACACTGTTTTATGACTTCAATGTATCAAATATTTAATTAATGAAAACAAATCCATTGAACAAACAACACCTTTTTTTCTTAGTTTGACCTGTGTTTTACTGTCATTGACTTACAGCTGGGTATTGCCATTGGATTTCTTGTTCCTCCGGTTCTCGTACCCAATGTGGAGGACATGGATCAGCTGGCTCATCACATCAGAATCATGTTCTACATCACAGCTGCGGTGGCCACGGCGCTCTTCATCCTTGTTGTCTTGAGTAAGTGGTTTTCTCTGGGGACTGCAGTTCTCTTCCACAGCCCAACAGCATGTTAAGAAAATGAGTTGTTGCTTGTTTCGAAATATCTTTCTCTGTACCAGTCTGAACCAGTGAGCTGTCCATGGTATGTCCCAGGCATGGGAAAACCTTTTTGACTCGTGGGCCATAATTGTACTAAAATGTTCGAGTGAAAGTAAAAAAAAAAACAAAACAGGGTTTTCCAGTTTCAACGATGCTGCTGATATTTACTGTAATTTACCAGCCCACACTGTGACGTGCAAGATTTCTGGTGCTGGAAAAAAAGGAAGAAGCTGCGGACTTTATTAGCACCCACAGACATAACGCCAACTTAAGCAACACACAGAGACACTATTGTAGGTCAGGAAGTGTTAACCAAGTGCCTGAAGCTCGCTATTGTTGTGAAATTCTTTACATTTTGTGTGAGAACAAGACGTTGACTGTAGTGTCTGCTGTGAAGTGCTGAGCAGGCATTTTCTTTTTTTGAACCTACAATGAACCTTTTTTTACCATCCTGCTGACAACTAGAGGAGTAGAAGGGTACAGCGGTACATTTGGACGACACTTTTATCCAAAGCGACGTAGAGAGCAGAATTAACAATCAGGCATGTGGTTACTCTGGGAATCGAACCCTCTCTGCGTTTGAGGTAGGCGTGCTAAACGCTACATTATGGAACCAGGGAAATGAAGTGGCATAAATATACCCTGGTGGTGTTGTGTTTGGGGGAGGGTCGACGGGGCACTGGGTAACACCCAAAGACACAATAGGAGGCTTGTGTGGGAATTCGGTTCCAGTTCTTTGTGTGGTTGCAGAGATTGGTACCAGACTGATGCCTGTGTTATAGTTGCAGTGCTGTGCTTGTTTGCATGCAGTCCAAAGGCAAATTCTCTGCCTGCACTAAATCCCAGTGATTAAAATGTGGAGGACACGTGTCCTTTATAATGTCATAAACTGTGTTGGACTGACGCAATCACGGATGATGTTGATGTTTTCAAGTGTAGCAGCACTGGTTGTGACAGAACTGCATACATCGAAATGTGACCTCTGCGTTTTATCCATCACCACAGTGAACCACAGAGTTGGAGTCATCAGGCGAGGGTGGGATTATAGCCCTGGGGAGTTTGCCATTCCATGACATAACCTGATTTAAATAACCACTCAGAGTTATCATGTGACCTGTTCTGTTCTCACTTCCTCCAGAACGTGGCTTGATGGCAGTTTGGCCACAGTGGTTTTTATGATGGTGCACGTTGACTCACCTTCATACATACAGTACATGCAGGATGGTATGTGTGAGTGTCGTCCTGCTGTTAGAACCATCTGTGGCCTCTGAGTCAGCAGGAGTCACACATTATAACAAACTGTCAGTGTGAGAAGTGAGAGAAGTTTGACCGCCGCCGTTTCCCTCTAAAATGATTCACTCAGTTGTTCTACAACAACTAGACACCGGAGGACTATGGTAATATTTGTATTATCTGGACATCCCAGATAAGGTCACAACCACAAACTGACAGTTGTTGCTCTGCAGGAGAGTAAAGCTGCTGGACCTGTTTTCCTGGGTAGATGGCTCTTTTTTTCAGCCACAGGACGGCGCCACACCCTTTACACTTTTTCGTCAGCATGGGCGATGACACCTATAATTATTAGGTGCAGTGGTGGCTTAGGTAAGGAAGGAAGCAGACTTGCGTCAAGGTTGAGTCCACCAGCTGCCAAGCTGCCACTGAGGTGCTCTGAGCATGGCACAAGCTGCCCACTGTTCACTTTGGTGATGGGTTTGAAGCAGAGCTGTGCAGTGGTGTGCAGTGGTGTGCTGTGTCACAATGACTAGGTGCCCTTCCTTCCTTATTTACTTTCCTTATAAACTAATTAATTTAAAAAAACCCATGACTGAATGAATGTGTTGTGGAAACTTTACTTTAGTACATTTGCTCAAAGACTCTTTTGCATGGTACTGTTTGCGTATCCTGTTACAGTGTCACTTATATATTCCTATTTGACTGTTTGATGATCGCATTTTTTACATTTCTAGAAAGTGTTGTTGTTTTCCCATTGACATCTGTTCATTTCATCACTGTTGGTCTGAAATCCAATAATGCATGATGAAAAAATCCCCTCTCATTGGCTCAGGATTTACTGTCTTACAATAATATAACAATATTTTCTTACTCCCCTGGCCCCTCCCCCCTGCTGATGACACCTTTATATGTTCTTTGAAAACTTGTTTCCATCAAGACGTCTTCTAACTCAGAATTGAAATATGTTTAAAAAAAAACATGAAATATTAAAGTGGGGTCTACATTTTCCACCAGGACCCTGCACATAAAACCTGCTTAACAGATTTATCACATTTCCTCTGGTACAGGCTGTGATGAGATGTTGCTCAAGCTCTTGTTGTTTTGGCCCTCTAAGTGGTTCCATTTGTTTAAGAAACAAAAAGAAGAGTTTCGATTTTCATATATATATACTTAAAAGCACCACAGAGATATTATAAAAATATTGAAGTAAAAAAAGTCAAAAGAAAAGTAAAAAAATGTAGCTGACTATTACATTTTAATTCCCTCGTATTTGTTTGATAAATGTTTTGTCTTTTCTGGTGTCAGTCTTTCAGGAGCGTCCCAAACTTCCTCCGACTCAGGCCCAGGCCGTAGCTCGTACCATCCCATCAGAGCAGTACTCCTACACCGCCTCTATCCGCCGACTGCTTCGCAACAGGTCCTTCATCCTCCTCATCATCACTTATGGTCAGTGTTTATCATTTATAACCAACATTGATAAAAAACATTCACATTAGCTACATAATGGTACGACTTCATGATATAGTTTGAACCAAACCATCAAATGAGCCCACGGATATATGATATTATCATTGATCATCCTGGACTTTCATTTCACTGTAGTTAGAGGAGCCTGTCGTCTGGAGAGTTAACCCCAGGTCACGGCTCAACCCGGGGACGTCATATCAGAGGAAAATGTTCTGTTGTTTTTCTGGCCTCTTTTTGGTCAATGGTTTTATCACAAGTGCAAATAAAAGAACATAATGGAGACCACAAGGGTTCAAAGTTTCCTTATGGTCCGAGAATGTTTAACAAACTGGGTTTTATAATCGGAGACCCAAAGATAAAACGGTTCATGGGGTGAAAGAGCCCTGGCAGGAGGGACAGACCGGAGTTTCCTCCTGTCGAGTTGTTCAGCTTGGTTTGAAGAAGTCACTCGGACAGAAGTCATGACGCAGTGAGAGAAAATACCTCAACCTGTGTCCAAGTCACATGACTATTGTTTGACTGTTCTTCCGTACAGCTTGTCTCACTTCCGCTATGTACCGTCTGAATGTTGCTCAAAGTTGAGTCACTGTTTAAGACCCCTGTGGTCTGTATAATACATATATGTATGTATACACATATGTATGTATATATATTTTTCTTCATTGAGTCATTTTTTTTCCTCACCCGCAGGTCTAAATGTGGGATGTTTTTATGCTGTTGGCACATTACTGAACCGCATCATCCTGACACATTATCCTGTAAGTACACACAACAGTGTATAATTCCTTTTTCATATTCATTACTGCCATTTCAGAAGCTAGGTCCAGTTCACACATAGTAATATCACTACTTTTTTTGTTGTTGTTTCATTTACTAATGTATAAAATATATATTATTTCCAAATACTCCAAGTATTGTTTCCATTTAATAGTTTTCTCCTCAATTATACATTAATGAGTAACAATAAATATTTTTGGGGGTCATTTAGTTTAAATGTATTGATTTCTTTTCAGCGATCTTTTGTGCGTACTGAACCTTTAAATCCTAATCCTCAGAGTGCAATGGTTTACGCCTAATCCCAAATTCTAATTCACATTCCTGTGTTTGAGATTACTGGGTCACTGACCTTTTTAACCTTTCAGAATGAAGAGGTGAATGCTGGGAGGATCGGCCTCACCATCATCATCGCCGGGATGGTCGGGTCACTGATCTGTGGCATTTGGTTGGATAAAACTAAAACCTACAAGTAAGCAGAATGTGAAGACCTTTGGTTACTTGTTTAGTGTGTTCAGCTGTGTTGGTCAATCCATCAGGTGGTGACCCATGACCTTTGGGACCTGAGTCATGTGCTTTTTGGCTAACGTCACTACAGTGTCCTCCCTATGGGAGCTTTCAGTGAACTCTCACAAGGACAAATGTTGTGTGTTATATCTGACTGCAGTGTATTTCTTATTACTTTATGGTTGCCATCCTCCACTCCCACTGAAACTATTTTTTATTATTAATTTATTTACCTACTTTTAGTAGTTTTACTTCAACCTCAAACCATAGAAAGGTTTTGAAATGTTGGGTCAAAATGCCTGGTTCTGTATGAAAGTCCTTGAAAAATGAAAAATATTTTGAATTTTTAAAAACTTTAAATCTGTGTCAGTCTGTTTCATTGCCGTTGCTTCACACGATCTGTGTTTAGTTGAATAACTTTACGGTTGTGTTTTTCAGACAAACTACATTTGCAGTTTACTTCATGTCTCTGGTGGCAATGATTGTCTTCACTGCAACCCTTGATCTGGGACTCTGGGTGGCCTTCATCACGGCTGGCAGCCTTGGGTAATTATTTTACTTTTTATATTTATATAGAGATATATATAAATATATATGCATATATAAACATTTTGATCAGTTCTAGTGAACCTATTTCTTTGTTTGTTCTCAGTCCTTCGTGAGACCAACTCAGTTCAGTTTTATAGAACAGTGCTGTGGGCACACACAGAGCTGGGCCTCCTGAGTGAGGTATTCACTGGAAACCCTTGTAAAGTCCTCCAGGCGATTCTGTGAAACACTCTTCCAGTAATGCAGTGGTTATTTTATTTAAACTTGCTCCCACAGTTTAACTTTCTCTTAAAGCTACAGCTATGCTATTTAGAGCTGTGTTCATTTAGCATCAACCTCTGAGATATCACACATTCGCCCCAGACACATAGCTGTGCCTCGGACCAAAAAACCAAAACCAAAACATCCATGTGGTTCTGTGTGCAGGTTCTTCATGACCGGTTACCTTCCACTAGGCTTTGAGTTTGCAGTGGAACTCACGTATCCTGAGTCAGAGGGAACGTCTTCTGGACTCCTCAACTGTTCAGCACAAGTATGTTAACGAAGACACACACACACACACATAAATACACACCATTCTGAAGATGGAACCCTCCAGTCATCAACACGGCCATAGCCTTTGTTTAAGTCGGTTCCGTAGTGTAGCGGTTAGCACGCCTGCGTCAGAAGCAGAGAGCAGACAGTACTAGGATCGGATCATCAATTATTTTCTGTCATTCTCCCCCTTGGGGGACAGAACATGTTTTCACTCGCCCCCTCTCCGCTCCGACCCACACTCCCAAGTATTGAAATACTATTGAGAACCTAATAAACATGTATATTTCTATCTGTACAAACCACTGTATGAGTTGCTGCCACCTCGTGGCTGGAGGCTTGTTATCATCAAGCATTACAGCAGTGGTTGACTTATGTGGGATCAATACAGTTCAAATGTTTTAACAGTGATGATGGAACGACTAAAAACAGCTGCTGTTCTTTTTCATTGGCTAAAAAGGAATACAATTACAGATGCATGGAATCTCCTCACTCTGGTACTAAAACTAAAAAGCAGGAAATCTATGGTATGTTAAACATAAATATGAGTCAGACTTGTGGAGCACGTGTTGTCAGATAGGCAGACTTGGTCTTATCACCACAGGACAGGGTCCTCACACGGGGGGTCTTGACACTGGATTGGTTAATATGGTTCTTGTAGCGTCCCAGCCAGGTCTTCAGACTCCATGAAATGTGATGAAGTTTCAGTTTTCTTTAATAAACATAAACCCTAAGCTCGCAGGCACACAGTAAGAGCTGAAATTAAACACTGACAACACACACATTACGTAAAACCGTTCAATTAGCATAAGCCTCGCTAATCAGCTAAAACCCTTCATTACGCACACACAAATAATAAATGACTTAAATACACATACACACACAACAAACATGTACCAGTAACTCTGCGCCTTCCAGCTGGGTGCTATGTACAAAAAAGCCCTTAAATGTCAGTGTCTGTGGATAAACTATAGAAATGAGGTACCGCCGAAACCGTATATTAGTCCTTTAAAATAAAAGCATTTCCATTAAACCAGATATTGTCCCCTTAAAACAAACAAACAATTAGATTTCACAAATGACATATTCGTATGAGTCATTTACAGTTCTACTTGTACATCCTGGTGCAAAATAAAACTCTGAGTCCTCCCACAGCGCTGTTCATACGATGTCTTCCTCATGATGCTTGTACATGTCCTGTTTCTGTCCGTTTTCACCTCCATAGTTGAATGCTACCATCAATGAATTGTGAAAACATGTTCATGTTTTGTAACACTTTACTAGATTTATACAAATATAGACCAATCCTGCATTTGTCCGTCCCCGGCTCTTGACTGTTCCATTCTGTGCACTTGCAGGTGTTTGGGATTATTTTCACCATATGCCAAGGGAAGATCATAGACAAATTTGGCACACTACCAGGAAACATCTTCCTCTGTGTCTTCCTTTTAATTGGCACGATAATGACAGGTAAGAGCTCCTTCTTGCTTTCAGCATTTTCTCTTATTTCCTAAGATGTGAGTTCATTACCATAGCTTTAGCCCACGGTTTCTTTAACCAAACACCACCTAATTAGGTGAAGCAGTAAACCTGTTCTGTGTAATTGTATCTGTGTGTCACAAAGATGCTAATGACTGTAGCAGTTTCTCAGGTGTGTCACGCTGCCCTGGCCACTGTTTCTGACCGGCCCATTAAGTTAATATTAAGTTAACTATGAACAATGTGTAACTCTAGAACTGTTTTAGCCACTGGAGTGTTCCACTGTGTCGCACTAGAGAAACACTCGGTTCTTTGACTAAGGGCACACTCGACTAACTCACTGTCTGTTAAAACTAGCTCAGTTTTTAGACGTGTAAAATGATGTCACGTGATTCTTTTCGGTAGTTGAACAATTTCTAAAAAAGTCTATCACTAAAATCTTCTCGTTCTTAGAAAAATGTCATCGAGAAACCTCAGCCAGTCCAGTTTCCTAGAAATGCCCCGGGGAGTAAACCCGGGGCTAAAACACCTGGTTATCTCTGAATATACCATTAAAATAAAAAAGAGTGTCCAGCCAGGCTTCAGTGAGACACGTGGAAGAACATTTTTATATTTATTTTTAAAATGTTGATTTATTACAAAGAGAAAGAAGCGAGATGTGTTAAAGAGGTTGATAAAAGTATCAAACTTGATCTTTTTAAATAGCTTTTTTTTCCACTACAGACAAGAAGATTATGTACCAATGCTGCTCACAATTGTTGCACGATGTATTACATCCTGTTTGACTTTATCAGAAAAAGACAAGATAAGAAGCTCAGAAAGTCCTGAGTAAAACTGTGCTTCCTCTTCTTGTACGTGTTTGTCTCATTCATTTCTTATTTATTTGTATATATATATATATGTGTGTGTATATATGTATATCATGTATATGTACACATATATACATTTATGTATGTATATATATGTGTGTTTATATATATATTTGTTTTAATCTTCAGGATTAATAAAGTCTGATCTACGGCGACAAAAAGCAAATCACATGGCCAGAGCAGCAGTAAGTCTTTGTGATCTTTTTTATTTATGTTGTGTACTGTGTGTGTGATGGATGGTCCCTGGAAGAATAGCACAGAAAAAGAAGAGAATCAAATCCAAACGTAAGGCTAACATTTCAAGTCTGTGCTTTTCCTACAGCGACACGTCTGAATGTTGGTGTCCTCAGTTTGCATGAGAGGGAAGCTGTGAAGGTCACATGTGCATGTTATGCAGCCTCAGAAATACTTGACTCTTTGCTCTACTTTTCTGTGCTCTGTTGTTTTTGCCTCTAGCTGTTGTGTTTTGTGCTGAAAGTTTTCTGCTGCTGCTTCTCTTCTGCTTTTATCTAATCATTAACAGACGTGTTGTCTTCAACTGTTTCTATGTGTAAAACTAAAACGGTTACAAAGTTGTCCTCCGACTTCACTGTTTCCAAGCTTCAGGGTAGTACTCCCAGCTTCTACATAAGCTTATTTTTTATCTTTTTTTTTCTTCGGGGTAGGATCTATTACAAATAATTTGTAAAAAAAACAACACCGTGTTTTATTATAGACTTTTAAGGTGACTACCAATGTTATAAATCAACCGATTTATTGCCTCACTCTCCCTCAGGCTCTGGTTGAATTGTTTTTGAACATGCGCCCTCTAGTGGTTGCCTACTGATCTGTTCGTTGGGCATGAAACAGGGGTTAAGCTGTAGGATGAGTGGCTTGACGTATAACGTTAAACATCGTGTATCACAAAACGCAACTTTTGAGATGATTTATGGAGAGTGAGCGTGAAATCGTACTTAATTTGTGAGGATAGGTTTTTGTTCGATTCCCAACAGCTGTTACAGAGGTGTACTCATCACAAGGTCACAAAGTCTCTGACGTCCAGTGGGCAGTTGCTTGTCTCTATAGCAACATGTGTTGCTTGTTCTTGTTAAATGTTTGAGTTACATTATTGGTTAAGATTTGTGTGAACATAAGTCATAGACTAGGATATAATCAGATAAGATAAGATGTCCTTTAATCATCCCAGGGTGTGGGAATTCACAGCAATAGCAGCAGCAGGGTAGAGTACGGGTTATAAAGTAGTACTACAGTAAGATATCACCTGTGTTTCTGTAGAACCTCTCTTAGAGTCAGGGAGGAGACATTTGCATGCTGCGTATCCTTCCTTCAAAAACATCGTTTGTTTGCCTGCTGTTGTAAACATGTCTAAAACTAACACCTACCACTGTTGAATACACATGAAGGGAGGAAATTAAGACATGTCTCGTCAGAGCAGCTTGTGTTAACCTTCACCCCAGGCTGAAGACACGCCTCTATAAACCCTGACGATCAGCTGTTGTTTTGGTAGGAGGGGAAGACGACCGCACAACAAGCCTACGGAGCCACGGCTCAAATCACCGAACCTCTGACTGCTGCTTCTCACTGCTGATCAATAAAACCTGCTTTCTTCTTTCTACAAAAAAAAAAATCCCAAACAATCTCGACAAATGATAGTTCAACGCCGAAACTGTTGAAGGTAGGATCACCCCCTGACGCTGATTCATCACCCACACCTGTCGATTGACTTTCCACCTTTTTTTTAACCTTTTTTGTCCTTCCCTGCCAGTGTCTCACTTTCATGCGGAATAAAACTCACACTATCTGTCGATCAGATATCGCCTCTGATTTTATAAATTCAATTCTTTGTTAATATTGTGAAGCATTTTACAAAGTGCCAAATTAACTGACTGGCCGTTGGACAGGGGCGGGAAACGTCCCCTCTGATTGGATGAGGTGGAAGACGTTAGTGTAAATAATAGTGAAATACAAACACATTCAGCGTAACCTTATGGAATTATATTTGAATATTTTTATATTATATGTGGAATTGGTAACAATAGATTTTGTGTTGTTTTGAAAGGACAGATACCAAATTAACGACTTTGTTTAAAAAGAAATCAGTAACTGATTGTAAAACAGGTTGCCTTAGAAATGTCTTAGAAAATAGAAAAAAAGAAATAAATTCACCAGCCTGCTTTTGCACAGTGCAAAATCAATGACTACTTTTTAAGCCATAGTTCGGATGAAAGATTCCTAATGGTGCAGTTATTTACTGTAGGACAAATGTGAGAGAGACATTGCAAATGTCTCTGACTGACTGTTAAAGTTGTTTGTTTTTTAAGATTCTATTTTGAATCTTAAATATGTGAAATAATGTGAATTCTCAAATTAAATCAAATATGTTTACAAATGTGTTGAAAATGTCGTTAGCTATTAAAAATAATTCTAATAACTAGTATTTAAATAGTTCATCTTTATTAGCCCCACTGATGATGAGTTTAGATGTTTGTGGAACATTTGGCACCAGCTCCACTCATAGACTACAGTCTTTATCAGAATCAGATGCTAATGTATAAATGTGTACGATTGTGAAATTGATAAAACAAAATTCTTTTGATTGATAGGATTCTCCTGCTCCCCGTGATACCGTTCCTGCTGCGTCTTATATCATCAAAGAAGCTCATATGTAAAACACACACTAAAACGCAGTGGAACAAGGTGCCTTAAAACTACAGCATCAGGGAGAGTTGTTCAAGTGTTCTTACTGAATCAAATTTGTGAAATATTTTAAATCTAAAACTTCTAAATATCAGTATTTTATGTACACAGTTAATTGCCTGTTACTGCTTTGAATCGTTGACACTTTAATTGATGAAATGACCTTGATGATGACAATGAATGTTTTTGTAGCAAATCCTTATGACTGGACTGGGGAGAGAAAACCATGTTAGACTTCCATATCAGTGTTCATGGTGATAAATTGTTAATGGCGTATTGTTTTTGAATTTTATTTATGTTTCTTTCTCTAACATGAAATAAAGCACATTTATTTCATGTTAATAATAAACATATTTTACAGTCATATTTGCTTTCAAAACTAACCTCATTTTTCCTCTTTCTTTATCTTTTATTTCACAATTCCTATAAAAGCCAAACAATTTTGGGATGTTTCTCTGTCTGATGTGATATGAAGTGTTATCATTAAAATGTTCAAGAAATAAAGAAGTTACCAGATGAATGACTAAGTGTAAGTTACAGTATGGAAAACGTTTGCAAAAAAAGAAAGAAGTGAAGCTGCGTTTCCTCCTTTTGGCCACTAGATGGGAGGATTGTCACATTAACAGATTGACTGGCCCGATTATTAGAACTCCAGGGCTTTGTAAATGCGTGGTCAAAGGTCACAGGGGCATATCGGGTCCAATGTGATCTCAGTGGCCTTCTTACAGTAGACCAAATGTAGGCTAGTGTGGCACACGTGGAAAATGACGTCACTAACTCTGTGTTTGGTAAAATGAGATGAAGTCTCAGCCACAGAGCAGCTCTGACATGAGATCATCCTGATGTCAGGCCAGGAGCAGCTCCTATTGGACCGGCTCTCTGGTGATGTCATTGTTGGGTTCTTGGCTAATGACTGACTGTTTGCCATAAATTGATCGTTAAATAATTCTTCCCTTTAATAGTAGTAGTTTTGGTTCCTCCGTTTACTGTAATTGTCAGGAAACAAAATACTTTACATGTCATTGCAAAACAGAGGTAAATTCACAGACCTAAAAATACGGCAGGACGTATCAAGGTGGAGAATCATGACCTTGGTTCAGTAGAGAGAGAGAGAGAGAGTTTTTGCTCTTGACCAGTTTTTATGAGTGTGGAACATATGAAGTGCAGACAGGATGAGGAACAGTGGCTATACGCCATGACAAATCATGGGTGCATATCATTGCCTTGGTACCGTAGAGAGAGAGAGAGAGAGAGTTTTTGCTCTTGACCAGTTTTTATGAGTGTGGAACATATGAAGTGCAGACAGGATGAGGAACAGTGGGGTGTGGGACTGGCCGGGAAACTCCTGTAGAGATGAGTCTTTGAATGAGGCCTCTTGTTTGCGTCTGACATTTCAAGAAGAAGTGGAAGAACTTACTGTACGTGTGCTGCACTCACTTTGTTTCTACCCAGACAGTTGCTTGTCTTTTTTCATTTTGCAAAATCCAACAAAAGTGCGTTTTGTGTTGCGGAGCTGGAGACGTCGGTGTGAATCCCATGGTCTCTGTACTGTACAGTATATCATCACACAGCGTTGTTTGAACGACAACGTGACAGATTGCCATTCTAAGCAGCGTAACCACAGCACGGGTTCGTGGTACCTCACTCTTGCAGGGCACAGCCTGCGAAGAATAAATAAATGTATTACTCAATGGTGACATGATTTATTCTGCGTGATGGTGAAGTGCGTCATTACCCTCAGCGGGGCCGATCCTATCTGCCTGCTGGCGCTTCACAGATATTATCAACTATCCACACCATGATCCTTCCTGCACCCGCAAAACCAAAAATACACAGTTACAATTATAAACACTATATTTAGTTTGTCATGAGAGGTGGGAGGAAAAGGAGTCTTCTGTAATCAGCTGTGCACTGTTTATGTCAAATGAGGCTCAGGGACCTGATTGTAGGCCTGTGGAGAACGGGTGAGAAACTCAAAATAAACCCTCAATTTGCCAATAAGGCTGCCAGCCAGTATGGAGCAGAGATAGGCATCGCAGTCACAAGGCGTGAAGTGGAGGGTGAGAAGTGGAGGGACAGTGCGCTCTCGTGGGCAGGGATCGGTGGTTCAGGCCGCGTACGACACAGAGGAGCTAAGAGGTAGTTTAGTGAGAGCTATCGTCCTAAAAACACCAGGAAGTCGTACATTGAAACGTCACCGGGACTATTTTTTTCCAATCTTTTTTTAAAATAAAGTCTTGGGCTAAATAATGCATATCAAATACCAGATGATTCTGAAATTGTGGACTGTGGAGAAATGTTCTGGTTTCACAGAAGCACCAGGAGCTGAAAATACCATCTCAGTTTCCAGCATGTGCGTTGAACCTTGTCACACACAGCTGGCTGTGCTAATTAGAGTTCTCTGTCGGGGACTTATTCCTTCCACTCTTCCCAGAGCCTGATGTGTTGTTTTCATTTTGTTGTTTAATGGGAAAAAAATGTCCCGGTTTGTAAAAAAATGGAAAAAAGTTTGTTAATTTTTCCATCTTCTCCCCGAGCTACTGTTTTGGCTTTTAAACGTTTCTCTCCCGAACCGAAAAGGCAACATCTCCGAGTGATCGTATGAATGTGAAGATGCTAATGATCCGTTTGGAGCTAACTTACTAACTTACGCTATAGAACACTTTTTTATTGACAAACGCAGTAATCATAAATATTTGAACTCCTAATTATAATCTAATAATAATCTTTCTCCAGAGAGCAGAGCGAGGCCCGGCCTTCGGAGGAGAGAGCGTTCTCTCTCTCTCTCTCTCTCTCTCTCTCTGCTCCTCAGGTTTCAAAGCTGGCAGGCTGATCAGAGCGCAGGAGGTTTGTGAGCCTTGGCACGGACACACAGCGCCAGGCTTTGAGAACCCAGATTAACCTGCACAGTAGTTAAATAAACACACATCGACGCATGGCGGCATGGATGGACGTCTCATCACAGCTCGCTACGTTTCCGTGATTATACGACGCTCACACCCTTCGCGAAGGCATGACGCAATAGAAATAACAGTGAAATCTCCAGAACATGTGCGTAGTATTTGACTAGGAGTCAGGTACAGGTGTGGGTACTCTGTACTCTGTGGTGGAAAGTCCCAGTCCGTGTTCCCTACTCTAGGTTAGAAGGATTTTCCTGGTTTTTCCTGGGATTGTTCTCAGTTGTTGAGCTGGACTGAACTGGTTTCCAGCTCTTCAATCCCAGTTACTAATATTGTCTGAGCTGTGATTGGTTAGTTGGGGGTCGACATTTGGACATCTGCAGGACGGTCAGTTGTGTTTTTAGGTCAACCCGACAAGGACAGGAGGGCGGGGGTAGGGAAGGTTGGGGCGGGGACCGTGTTTGTACACAGGGAACCCCAGTCAGCTCTATTATTGAGGGCCGTGTCAAGCAGAGATCAGGGTGGAAAATACACAGGATCCCCGGCGCCAAGTCCCTCGCTCTTGGAAAATGTGGCCCAAAAGCATCCAAGCGTAGGGCCTGGATTTAATCACCCACCGCGGCCTTTGTCCTCAGCCTGGAGAAGGAAAAGCAGCAGTCAATCTCCATCACTCCGGGCCCTGGTCCGTCCACCAACAGCTGACTCCGTATCCAGGGAATTCACCTCGTTTTTAATTCTGGCTGTGACGTCCAGGATGACTGATGCCTCGTAACAGAAACTGTCAAATGCTGCCTTGTTCTGGCCTCACAGCTCCACATGTTTTATGAGCGTTTTGTTGCCATGTATTTTTCCAAAGTGACAAAATATTTTCTATATTTTATCGGGATGTTTTGCAAATAATAAAAAACATGGCTCCACTGCTGAAGTTTTCAGCTTGTTCTAAAGTACATTATGAATCCAGTGAACCAGGAGGAAGTGTCGTGTTGAAAGTCTTCGGCCTGGACCCACGGCTTTCAGGTTCTTTTCCCATTTACTTGTGGAAAAATCCAACAGAGGAGCGTGTCCTCTGAGCCAACGTCCTCATCGGTGCCCAGAGATCCTGGACGGCTCCTATCATAAAGTTGAACTAAAGCGGTGAAGTAACGATATTAGACAGTTGGTCCATATCTGCTGCAGTTGTTAGGAGCTGTGGTTTTGTTTTAGGAAGTGAAACTGGAGAACTGACGTGTAAGAAGCAGAAATCATCACAGAGACTGTGCCTTCAGTATTTCATCTGAATGGCATTCAAATTATACCCCACTATAATCGAATGATGAACATGGAAAAAGTGTGGAAATGAGATTTGACCTCTGCGAAAGCAATTTTCCAAAGCGGGGCCAGCAGCGAGGGAGCGCCGTGCCAGGAGTGGAGTTCATACAGTTTTGGTGATATTTTTACAACCAATAATCTCCACCTGCGTCGACAACTACTCTATCGGACTGCCGTACTTCATGACATCATCACTCCGGCATCAGCGTTTTATTGGCAGGAAAACACAACGACAAATGAGAGGCCTGACAGAGGAATGGCTTCCCATCATCCCCCGACGAGTCTGTGTGTCCCACTGAAAAGGACCCCAGTCCTAATGAAGCCCAGTCAGGGTCTGCTGTTGTCCCTCAGCCAACGTCTCCCACACCCATCTTTACTTGACTCCATTCACTTTGGTTCCGTGTAGTCCACCTTCACCTAATACTTGAATGTTTATAATTTTATATAAAGCTTTTGTGTTTAAATATTCAGATACAAACAACCTCAGAAAATACTCGTCTGCCAAAGAATGAACACATTAAATACAGCAGAATTTATTCCTAAAAATTAAGATTATTCGCTGCAGTACCAGCCAAAGCCACACTGTACAGTGATGTAGCCCTCTGACTGGACAAATAACAAGTATTTACATTCTTCTATGCCACTAGATAGTACCACCAGTGGTATGTGCCCCATATATTGAGAACCACTGACCTAATGGAAATATTTGTGATATAAAATAAACTGCAATTTTCACTTTAAACATTCCATCATCTAACTCTAGCATTGTAGCGAACGTCAATTTAACATTTACTTATTTTTCTCTCCTTAAGTTTTTTGCTGTTTTTGGGCAACTTTAATTCAGCAAATTTGACCTGAATTTGAACGGAAGTGATTTTGGTTACATTTGAGTCTTTTTTGTCAAATCGACTGTTGATGTTATTAATATTCATTTGAATTGTTTACAATTTCCGACTCAGTTACTGAAAAAGCGCAGGTCTCTAAAGTTTTCTGAGTTGAAAAAGCGCAGGTCTCTAAAGTTTTCTTATGTGAGTAACGATCCACACTGTGCTGTCGTCATGTAGAGATTTATTTGATACTGTTGTTCAGTTGAGCATCTTTCAGCTGGTTGTTTTCCTTTGACAACTTGGACATAACTGTTTTACTCCGTGCTCGACAATGTTTTTAACAGCCTCAGACAGAAGCCGGCAGCTGGTTTGGGTTGAGCCACGTTCGGCCCCAGATCAGACGGTCAAGGTGATCAACAGAGCACGTGTATGTGGCTAATGAGTTACTTGTCTTGATCAGTAATTGGTGTGGAGCTGCACAG